TAAGGTCAGTGAACTTGTATATTTTAACCCATTATATCGGAGACATAAGTGGGCATTTGACAACAGTCCCTAGTCCCGGCCCGACGTCTTGCACAGCATGCACCGGTATATGCAATAACTATGCATGTTATGCCTTGCACACGTTGCCGAGGCATCTCAAGTATCCTTCGAAAACTTACTGTCATGCAGACCAAGTTCTACTCATCATTCAGTACCACTTCCATATCTAACTGGGTCGCAGTTCTCCATGAATATTATAATAACCGGTTACCATCTGACCTATATTACCGATGAAAACAATGATATAAATCCGGAGTTTGACCACTGATACCGACTGACTGACCTCTCAGATACCGACTGCACCACTGACCCAACCAAAACACTGGATCACAGAGTTCGACCAAAATACCTCGGACGACCAGACAATGCCCGCTAGACTGGTGTAGACTTGTAGAGCGTCATCTCCGCGCTGTTCGGCTTTGACGTTTCGACCGGTTCTTCCTAAATCTCTGATAACTTCTGATCACTCTGCGATCGGCACTCGCTTGTCATCCGTTTTGGTCAGTGGCCCGACTGGTGCGACTTGTGACCTCTGGTTGACCTCTGGTGACGTCGCGATCGATAACATTCAGGTTCCGAGGTCAGAATTGCTGCTGGGTCGCTCCACTATGCTGTGAGATTATCGCCTTCATATCTGACCCGCGCCGTCTTGGTCTGTAATGGTAAGACGGTATACAGCCTACGCATATGTATAAGCGGGGGATGAAAGAAAGCTGCAGCAGGAGGCGGTAAGGCGCCAAAGAGTCTACGCAGGAGCCTTAGAGGATAGAGAGACGCCGCGGCAGCCGCAGGGCGTCGTCAGCCGCACAGTGCACTGGCCACGGCTCCTGCAGGGCGGGACTGTCGGGCCATCCGACCGCCTCGCTAATGTATCCGATAGCGGTGCGTCAGAGCGCGTCACTCAGCCCTGACCCTGCGACTTCTCACTGGGCAGAGGAAGGGAGGAGGGAGAGAGGGAGGGGCGCATACTGGTCGGACGGCCGGCCGGGCCGTGCCACCCTCCGCCATCGCTGCCGCTGCCGCCGTCTAGTCGAAGTTTTTGTGCCGTAGTCCCGTTTGGCTGCACCACTCAAGTTTCTCATTCTCATCCTCGTTAGCACTTTGGTTCGAGTCACTGACTGACACCGGGTCCGTTTCAAAACATTCTCATTTCATCCCTTCATTCATTCTCAGCGGGCGTTGCTCGCCTGCCTTGATGCTCTCTGCCCACTGTTGGCAGACGTGAGACGTGGGAGCAGCAACCCGGTTCTGCAAGGCACGACTCTCCTCCGCTACTTACATGGCGATACTGTGGGGGCAGCCGGTGGGCTGGGGTGGGGGTGGCTGGCCGGCCTTGAATGTCAGTAGGAGCGGTTGGGGAGCCCCGGCCCTGGACGAGCTGAGCGCGAGCTGGTCTCTGAGGCCCGTATATGAGGCCCCATGAAGCCTCTCAGAGGCCCCGCTCGTGTCCGTTGGTCAGGAAGCCAATCCGCATCGATTAGACAGCCGGAGCCTCGTGCACCTGCGAGCTGAGAGGGCTGTTATTGCAATAGAGCTCCTGCAATAGCCAGTGTGATGGTCCGAGGAATGTTGCAGGGCTCTCTGTTTGTTATTTTCAGACAACCACTGTCGCACCGGGAAGGCTGGCGATAAGTTTTTTTTTTCTGATGACACCCGTGCCTGCTGTCACAGTAGAAACTCAGATAAACGTGTGTTTACCGCGCTGGTGCAAGTTTTCAGTCAGACGATGCTTGCTTTTCTGTTGCAATACCGCGAGTCTAGGTGTCTGTATTTACAATTGGTGGCGCCAAGAGCTACTGCTAAACGCTACTGCAATCATCCGTGAAATTCACGGCTGCTTTTGTTTCTCTTACAGCTCTTATGATTTTCAGTTCCTAGCTGTGTGTTCTGTATAGATCTCATCTTCATTTCCGAGGTGCGTCCGGTGTAATCGGGCGAACGCTGTGTAATCAGACGGAGATCGGATTACCTCTGACACATCGCCCCTCGTTCCGGAGAAAGTACCGAAGTGGTAGGCGCCGTCGGATCAGAGCTCTTCCGGCACGTATGGAAATTTGTCTCGGCTTGCGACACAGCGGGAGAATCGTGTGCGTTGGAAACGGCCAACAGCGAATAATACCAGCAATTAATTCATCCATTCATAGCCGGATCTAGTTCTTAATTTAAAGACAAAAAGTGAACCCATTATCAGGCATTGATTGATGTAATCGGTATCCGAGCAATCTTATATGTAAGCCCATCTAACGTCTTGCATTTTCTAGAGGGTGCATTTCTCATCAGTAGGTAAACCACAGGTGTTTATTCCATTTAATGCGCACCTACTGTTTTGGTCTGCAACGAGCTCTAGCCTGTGCTCTCGTAGTCCTCCTCTATCCAATTAACCGTTCAATGTCTCAATTTATTTTCTATGATACCATCTCTCTCGACTACAACAGTCTTGTTTACCAATATAGTGCGCGGTCGCAACACTTTCACTCTTCCTATACCCCACCACTATAGCCGGCCCTCGAACCTCGCTGCACCTGCCTGACCCTTGTGAAGCTGACGACACCACCATAGGAGACTCATCGCCTCTCCATGGGCTCTGAGGGTGAGGCTGCCAGACCAGCGAGGTGGCCAGCTCGGCATAGTGATGAGCGGGACTTTCTCTGGTCCCGTGACAAGCAGGTGGAGATCGGTGCAGCCGCACCTGGTCGGTCGGCTGAAACTGCTCCCGGGATGGGTAGCAGAGCTGAGTAACGGGTTGAAACGATACTGAGCTGGCTGTGGCGAATGGTGCTTTGGAATTCCTTAGGGTGTGGGTGATAGCAGCTGAGCTGTTTGAACGGTGCTGTATGAATGAAATGAATGCAGTATGTCCGACGAATGGCGTTTAGTCAGGTGATAAAAAGTGCAATTCAATTGAATTGCTAAAAAGAATGATGAGAAGGTAAAAAGATTGGCATTGCAAGCATTCACAGTGCTTGCATTTCTACATTGAGCCAAGTTAAAATGTGTGACAGTGAAATGTTTGCTCGTCCTTAGTTATGATCCGATAATCCTTGGGCTTAGGCAGCCCGTCTCCACGCTCCAAAGTTTCTCCTTCGTCAGCGCGTCTGCAGCCGCTGCAGCACGTGCTGCAGTACCCCAACAAACACTTGCTGTTGATCGTTCGGCAAAACAGCCCTCTTCACCCTATGTTTAGCGTGCCTCGAGCGATCCGTGCAGCCAGCCAGCCCGCCCGGCTGACTGCCAGGGTCACCACTAGGTGGCAGCACTGCGCGGCGGTGGAGACTGCGACCTCGGTGGATCATCTCAACTGGCACCTCCGTGCAGTCTGCTGCGCCAGCACTGATGGTGTGTTGGGTGATATCAACATGCGCCAGTCGCACCGTGCCCCTCCCTCGTGGAGGAGATGTGGCCAGACTTCCGTATCTGGAGACTGATGGCGACAGGCGGACTGAATAACAGCTGACTGAGCGCAGTTTGAACGATGTCCTGGATTTATTGGGTCAAAATGGTGATAAATTGATAGCTATGAATGAGTTTGTGGTCCAAACAGATGTGTTTTTCACATGACGCACAGCTTTCTGCTCACGAATTGTTTGGTTTCGACGCTCGTTTGCTTATCGGATGTCGTTCCCATAATTTCTCAGTCTTCGAAAAGTTTGCGGAGAGTGAGGGTGAGTGTCAATTCGCTAAATCCCTGGCTGTAGGTTCGTGACTGACTTGGTAGTCTCACTCGCATCTGACTGGCGCTGGCTTTGGACTATCGTTTACATTGCAGCTGCTCAGCGCGCCTGCTGGGAGACTGTTTCTGCTGACCGGATACTGGGCGTATACTGACCGCATACTGGGCGTGTGCTGACCAAAGGCTGGGCTGGGCAATGGGTGCTGACCAAATGCTGGTCAACTTGTGGTCTAGTGACACGTTGGATCAGGTGTAGGTGGTTGCAAAAAAGGACAACTGTGGTGTTAGTAGCATTGGTGCTTTTGTCCGGTCAAACGTGCTTTCTACTTTTGCCTCTCTCAATCGGCTGGTCCGTTGATAAAGGGTGACCACATAAATACCGCCATACGTTTAGGAAATATTTTGAAGACTATGGGAAATGTTAAGTATGATACAGCCTATTTGTCCTCTTGACAGTGCTACTGACATTGTACACGGCCTGCAAAACGTTAAAAGATAGGATGTTTACGGTCTGCTACTTACATTTCCCAATAGCCTGTAAGCACCATTCACTCAACGTTTCTTGCAACTTTACAAGCTATTTACCGCTCTGGCGTGTTTGCAAAACGGCGGTCGTGACACTACGTTTCAGTTTTCAGTGTGCTTTTGGACTTTGTAACAGGCTGTAAATTGTGATCGGTGACTGCGTAATGCGTATGTCAATATGAATACGTTTTTACCACCGTGTCTAAGCTGTGAAATGTTGTCCCTGGCGGTGTACTGATATGATCCGTGTGCGACATGCGTATCTGTTTTGTCACTTGTCATAAATGCTATCGCAAGGGCGCTTTGAGCTTAGACACAAGATGTCAATCTGTTTTAAGAAAAGTGACACATTCGTCCCATTACGTATGGTAAACTGTTTGCTCTTGCTTGTCAATTGGCTAAAGGTCATTTTTACCTAACTTATGTACATCATTCTCGCTAACCTGTTCAGTTACATTCTAATCTCACGCTACAAACTCATTCAGCTCAATTACTACTGTCTGTTTGTTTTACTTGATCTAATATGATTAGACCTTGCCTCATGTCTCCCTTTCTGACCCTTTCCGCCATAAACTCGCCAACTCCTCCTGACCCTTCTGATCAACCACTGACCCTTTCTGACCTATCTGTCCTCTCATCTGACCCCATCACCCGACGTTTACCCTCATCTAACCCTCCTCTGACCTTACTGACCTCATTGACCTCTGACCCATACAACCCACTGACCGTGCCCTTTTGGCCTCAGGCGGGGACACCGACGACGAATGGCTGGACGATGGCCACCTCTACGAGGCACTGGACTCTCACTACGAGCCTGTCGGCGCAGTGCCAGAGGCAGTCGACTCAGATGACGATGTGGTAGAGGAGGAGGACAAGGAGCTGGGTGATGAGGTGAGTCGGATTGAGGGGAAAGGTAAAGGGCTGGGTGAGAAGTTTTGTCATTTATGTGCGGGTTGTTGAGGTAATGAAGGATGATGGTTTGGTCCTTGGGAGGTGTGATTGTTGGCCGGAAAGGAACGACAAAAGTAAGGTTAACGAGGCTTAATTGGTGCTAAAATCATTAACTTAATTGTTACGAAATTGAGGAAGAGAAGTCATAAAAAATATGAAAACGCTTGGTTGGTGAAAGAACAGCACTTCGTTTGTTACACTGAGCAAACAATCATATCTTTCGTTCCATAATTGCTGTCTGCACTGTGCAGGGTGGATATAAAGAGCTCTTGCTTCATAAAGCACCGCGATTCCTCGAGACCGTATCGGTTGGCCACATTTGTCAACAATGTCAGAGACACCCAAGTCTGTCACATTTGTCATTACTGCCCAAGACATCCGGCCTTTTCACTGTCACAGTGCGGAGACCAGCTGAAACCTATGTTGTAATCCGTGACTAGGTTTTGTTACGTGATGGTTATTAGCCTGTGACCATGATTGCGGGACAGTGTTTTGTTATTTGTCATGCCACCCAGCTATCAGTGCTAGCCATTGTATAGGCCTCTGTCGTGTGTGAGCTGCCTGCCTGTGTCTCAAGTCTGAGCACCGGGATCAACAGGCTGGTCTCGGCAGGTCAGCGATGGGCCATGCGTGACTGTGAATGGACAAAAGGGCGCATTGGATTTCGGAACAAGGATTAATGCGGCTAGTGGTGTAAGGTTATATCATTGTTTGCCTAATGATGCTATAATGGCTTGAACTAATTGGAGACGTTCATGCCACGTTTTACACCGGCTAGGCTGTCCTTATGGAATTTCCAGTGCACAGTGACAGTGCACACTACTCTGTTTGACTTCCACTGGCTGTTGAACTGCGTTCTTTTGCGCCAGCTCAACCCGAACGTTGCAGTCGGTCTGACTTATCCAATAGTCACGATCCAGGGCCCTGTGCACAGACTATCATTGAGAATGGGGAAAATTCCAGCAGAACGTCATTTTTTCGCAGTTCGGTCGGATATATAATGAAATGTAGTGGTTTTGAACATCAGAAGCGCCCGATGCTGCACTGTAGTGGGCTTTGTCAAGGTTATGGCTCGAAAAGCGCATATTCACCGCGGAAGTTCGTGTGACCTTGGCAGTCAGCGTGACCCGCGTGCCTGAGCTGCCTCTCCGGTCAGTGTACGGCTAATACTCAAAACGGTATTCTTATTGCTTGGTTCTTTGACCGATAGTAATATTTTGTCGGGGTCAATGCTTCGCTTTGGTCAGTTTTGCCTCGTTCGCGGGCCTGAACCGGAGTCTTATCAGGTCATATTGCATCTATCGACATTCAGCAGTATTTTTACAACTACATAGCTGCGATTGCGGCTGCTGTGTACCTTATCATGTGACGTTTATCAGCTGCTGATATCTCACTTCCTCCACTTCACGCGTACGCTTGATCCTTCCGCCGGGTATATCTCGCTACAAGACAATTCTCGACAATACCAGAGCAACATACCGAAGTAACAACGATACTAAAAGGTATATAAAGCAGTGTTTGACCTGCCAATTTTTCGACATTTTTACGCACTCATCTTAGTCGCATACACCAATGCCAAATATTAATTCAGAAACGATCAATAACAGCCGACGGTGTAGCATTACGCCTGCACAACTCCTGTTCCGGATTTTTACGGCGCTCCAGCACTCTGCCGGCACGTGTCGCCTGCAGGAATGTGCGTTGAACCAGCTGCGTCTCTGTGGCTGAGCTAAACCAGACACTCGCCGGCGCGCACGCACCCATCAGGGAGTGTTGCAACCCGGGCCGGGGTCGGTCAGGGGTCAGGCGCGGTCACGTGTTAGCCCCTTGCAGTCGAGGGAGGCAATACGATCATGTTTGGTAGCGCATCGCTATGCAATTTATTTGTAGATGATTCTTCGAAAGGCTCGAAATGCCAGAATCTTCGAAAGGCTCGAAGTGCTAGCAGAAAGGGTCAGCTATAGGTACTTATCACATAAGGCAGGCAAGTATGCGTGCTTCATCTCAGAAAAAAAAACATCCGTGGCCTGCAACCTTCGCCATGCATAGTAAGTATTTCTAAATTCGGACCAGTGGACTAGAAAGCTGCATCTTTAACGACTGCAAAATGAGCGTTAGCCTGCTGCGAGACAAGTGATTAACCACGACGAGTATGTTCACGGTTATAAGGCATCTCTGAAGCAGCTGTCTGACTTATGAGGAGGTAGTGAAAAGTGATGAGGGACAGTGTCATGTCGTCAGTCCTGTCCAGCGAAGACGGGGAAAGCTGCCCCCGCTGCGTGAGACCGGAAGAGATTGTGAATGTTACAGCATCAAAGCCCACCAGTCACGAGAGAGGATCACTTGGCGGGAAGGATCCGTCCGCTGCTACGCGCCCATCTTCGTTGATTTTATCTTGCAGCTTTCGATCGAAGCTTACGTCCTTGTCCAATAGTTTGAGGTGCTGTTCGCAGACGCATGGATGTGTGCATGTGTAATGTGTATCTCATTCTTAGTAATGCTACCGCGATTCGCATGTAGCGAGGCGCATTAGAGCCCTAGATCCCGGATTTCGGGAACCATAGATTCTATTCCTCCGATTAACCTTCTGTGTTGGCTTGAATGGCCGGTAAATATGGGTTGTCACTTGATATAAAGGTTCGGTGTTCATTCGCGTGTGTCATTCACAGATGAATGGTCGTTTTGATTATATACCTCATCTGCGCGGTGAATTAGTTCCGTTCCAGGTGTAGAAAGTTGGGTCTGCTCGATTTCGCGCACATATGCGTGAAATCGGACCACGACGAGAAATCTCACTTATACGTGTGGAGGAATTTATAGTGATTACGTCTAGCTAATTATCCTAGACGTGAGGTAATCATTTTAGCTGAAAAGTCTGTGTTCCTGAAAAAGCGCACCAGGAAAGAACTGTGTAACAACTCGGATCTATGCTGAAAATTCCTATTACGTGATCCTTCAGACTCACGTCAGGAGCTTGGAAAGGCGTGAATAGAGTATCCGTGCGGCTCATTAGAAGCTCATTCGCCTGCTTTATTCATCTCACGCAGGGAGAAAATGAGCTTTCATAGTTCTTTCACATGGATAGTGGATAGATATCGCATTATAACGCTTCCTAAAAGCAAAAGAGAAACCGGGAAATTTCGTTACTTTTTGGATATTCCTGGACGTCAAAGCAAGCTTGATGCGTGTCTTTCTGCCTGTTGACCGTATACCTAAAGGCACGTGATGGTTTAGCAAGCGTAACATTCACTTCTACATTTTCGTTCGCGGTAATTATCATAAGTCATGAGTCATGGCACGTTCAATCACACGTCATTACCATTTGAAAAGACTCGCGGCGCGGCGTCGGGGACGCTCCTGCGCGGGCGGCCGTCCCTCCTTTGTAACGTCACGTGACGGATGTCGGCCGTCACTGCCGACCACCTGTGGCGGGGCGTGCACGTGCAGACGACGTGCACAGAGCACGGCTGGGCGTGCACGGCTCGGCGTAACTCCGCGGCAGCCGCAGCCCACGTCAGCACGGCAAACTGCGGTTCTCCGAAGGTCGTGGATGCTGCTGGGGTGGCCGAGGCCCAGCGTTCTCGGCAGGTCTGCCTTATCAGCCCGAATGGAGCTGCACGATATAGCGCGGGAATGGACCACCAGCAGCCAGATGGCTCCTCTGCCTCTGTCTGACGCCGACACGGAAACAATGTGTGTCGGTAGAGGGTGCAGCCGCAGTCAGACGCTACGCGCGCGGTGTTAAATGGGTCAACGATGCCGGTTGGCCCTCAGGTATGACAAATCGCCCGTCAGAAGCTAAGTAGGTGCCGCTCCTCCGCACAAACTCTCGCTGGTAAGTGGCCGGAATTCAGCTCGAATGAACGCCGAGCCTCGGTTTAGCTCAGCTCACCGACTTAGCTCACCGACTCAGCTCACTAGCTCGAGTTAAATCGGCTCGTCTTGGTTCGTCTTGTCGCTAGCACTCCTCTCAGGATTGTCAGCTACCACGCTCACCGCAGCATTCTTACTAGCGCCACCGGAACTAAGCGGTGGCACGATGGCGGGTCTGATCCCGTTCCTGGGCCTCCCGGTCGCCTCCCCACTCCGACCCGACTCGAGCCGAGGCACTCCCAGTTTCCGGGCCGTCTGCACTGGGGTCTCAGTCACGAAAGGTGGCGGTGATGGCTCCAACGGTGGCGGAGGCGGCAGGAGGAAGGCCTTCCTGTCTGGAGCGTGCTGATGAGTTCCGGTGTCAGTCGGCCGGCGGTAGTCTTGTGACCTCCTGACCTTTTGACCCAGCCAGGGGTCACAGGAGCGGGGACGAGCAGGGGCAGTGGGCCACCAAGGCTGGGAATTTCGCAGCTGCACCGGGTGTCTGTTCACTGTGCAGGTGATCGACCGAGTCACGTTGGCTTCTGAACGCTAGCGAGCTAGTGAACGGCTCCTGCTCTAAGACTGATGGATGAGGCAGCTTTTTCTTGTGTATTCTCGAATATTTTCCGTTACGGAATGGTGCTGCTTTTATGTTTTAGACGATTGCATTAAAGAGCTGAGCGACAGCAAAATAAGTTATCCAGTTGTTTTGATGCAGCAATATTGCGGAGCGTCCTTGCCGTAAGACCGACAAAGAATAAACGATGACTTAAAACTTTATCGATATAAGCAACAGACGATTGATGGTGAGCACTTTTTTCGTGTGTGGTGTCTATCCATCTACGATCAAGTTGAGTGCGTGCAGCGCACTTGGTAGTCTGTTTGACCCCGCCCGCATGGTGCAAAAATAAACGGACATGTCACTCGCACCCTCTTAGATTGCCGGCCATTCATTTAACTGACGATGTCGTTAACTGTTAAATCTACACATGTAATGATGTACGCACCGACTGGCGCAGCTAACGAAGGGTGTCAATTAGGAGACAAACCAGGCGTCTGGCTGAGCCAGTCTCCAAATATCGGCCCAGTATTGTGATTGAAGTTATTTCCGGGGCGTCAGAAAGAAATAAAACAGATGTACCCGCTCCTATGATCTATGCAATAATTGGAAGTCGGAAGGCACCGTAAGTTTGAAATGACAAAAACATTTGCAAGGCTGAAATCATGTCTATAATAAAAACGAATCGCTTCCAATATGTGATTGATCAGTAGCTTAGCGCATTGTAAAGGTGATTTTTTTTCGGAAACTACTTTATATTGAACAGCTAGCCATCTCTGTAACGTTGAGAAGTCTACAGGAAGCACCTCTGACCCTCCATGTCCCTTCTGTCGCCCCCCAGGAGCTGGATCAGGACAACGCTGAGCCTTCCAATGGCATGCAGAAGATCGCTGAGGGCATGCGGCGTCTGCAGAAAAACTGGAACTCGACAAAATCAGACATCCGCTCCGGCATCAGCCGCATCCGGAAAAAGTCGACATCCGCGCCTGAACAGACCATCACAGGTAGGTGAAGTTCGTCACAGATTTTTAGAACGTTGGTGCTTGGGGTTTTGTTGTTTCCATGGTGGCAAAAAGACTTAACCAGTTCGCTAACCGTTTGTTAGCATGGTTATTATTTAGATTATTATACCAAACGATTTGTCTTCATTGCATTTTGGCAACCACATCAGCCATGTATTTCGTTTGTTGTCTTCTTGCTCACCACTTTGATAATAGATTTTGATTCGAAGGTGTCACGTTAGTTCCAGTGTCAGTGGTCATCAAGCCCACCAAATGGTGGATGAAGAACCGCCACCGGAAGAAGAAGAGCATCTCGGGCACTGCGGGCGCCACGGGCGACTCGTCCACCTTCTATCTTGACCTGGTCATCCAGCCGGGACAGGCTGAGGAGGCAGCGGCAGCGGCGACGGGAGCAGCTGAGGAGGAGGGTGACATTCGGTCCGAGAGCGACCCCGGATCCAACCGGTCATCGGTCAGGTCAGTGAACACGGCTTTTTCATCGTAATATTTTTTTGTAGAGCAATGATATAACATTTGAGCTGTAACTATTTATTTGAGTTCTGAGACGTGTGTGTTTTTATATGCATATGGCCGGGGAGTTAAAATCTTCATCAAATGGATGCTATATTACGGTCTAACAAGCCGGATATTTTATGTAATACCTAATGCACAGATTCCGAGTTCTGTTTACCACTCCCAGTTGTACTCAACGTAACTTTCATGGTTTTCCTATATTCACCGCTACCTAGAACACGTGCGGCCTCCCAATCCAGGAATGTTGAGCGGTAGCGGGGCGCAGATTTTCTTTTGACGGAGCCGGGCTAGTCTGACCACTCCTGTTAGGATTGTCGTGCGCGCCAGACCACCGTACCAGCCCGGTTCCATGCACATTCCTAGGCTGATTCACCGGTACTGGCCGGAAGTCTGTGGTGTCGGCCGCTGGCCCATAGAGCCTATTACCGGGGAAGATCGTCCTTCGAAGCGCAAACTCGCATCCGATTCATAGTCCTGGAATTGTACTTCATAATTTGTCCCGGCTGTTTTACTTGGAGCATAACAGTATTGTGTGTTATGCGTCACTGGCTGGTGGGTTTTCGGATGAACTAACTGTTCAAAAGGGTGACGAGGACTTGGCTAAGGAAAATGTCTTACAGCCATAGTACCTATGATTGATATGTCTTCACATCCCATGAAGTGCACTAGTCTGGGGAAAACCTCACTGAACTGTTGTTACGAATTCTGGCAAAACATCTTCGAAACGCTCCTGAAAATCAGCTGATGTTTATCGATGTCATTGCTTAGTTTTTACAATCTACATTTTAAACTTGCCTACGCCCTTCTTTGCGACCTTTTGCCACCGACGATGCTTTGCCGTACAAATTCAAGGCTCTTTATGACTAAATCGATAGTGGACCGTAATCAATTAATCGGTAATTAGTCGCTCATCACTCTGGTTTTCAGTATCCAGACCGGATCTAGCCCATCGCAGCGGATGTTGTTACTACACACCGTCCCCACGAATCGCCGGCTTTGCGCAACGATCAGTTCCCACATGGTTATATAGGTCGTCTTGTGTGTGTTTGCGTGGAGCGTGCGACCGAACCTTTTAGACTCGTGACCTGCGGGGTTCCCAGCCCTATTACGCAATCCTGCCGTTGTGTTTTATACAGCTGCTGTGTCTTCTACGTCACTGTAAACGTGACACTCAGAATGTTGTCGGTCTTGTTCGATTAGCTGTTCTTCACTCATTTCTGCTTGAAAGAGAAGTTCTGGTTCTTTGAGTGTCCTCAGTTGCGGTTTCAACCGTCATGACGAAATAAGCTGGCCGACACTGATGTTTGTGTCCCGTCGATGGCTGACGTTCCCCTCCCCTCTCCTCTGACAGGCGCTCAGACACGGACAGCCTGTCGAGTCTGCAGCAGGCTGACTCCCGCGTGCGGCTGCCCTCTACCCAGTCCAGCTCGTCCCGAGAGTCGGCTGGCGCCTCGGCAGCGCGTAAGGCCCGGCCACGCGCCGCCCCGCCGGCGCCGCCAGCCGCCCTGGCGGCCGCCCCCGCCAACCCACCGCACCCGGCACGCTTGTCCGGTACGCTTGGCGCCATCACGCAGCACTCACTGGACCCATGGCACACCTCACCTCCATCAACAACTCTCACTTAAACCCCGTCCCTGTTTCACGCATTCAATTGGTATTTGCATTACCCGATCTTACATTCTGTCACTTTTTATTTTTTGCACAATATCACCTTACTCAATGCGTCAAGAGTCACAACTTTTGTATTCTCCCATGTCCCCTGATGAGTCTTCGATAAATAATTCACCTGTCCTTCACTTCCAGCTTTTGCTCACTTTTCATTCTTCGGATCCCCAATAGTGCACCTTACTTATCAGGTACTCGCTAAAACTATAGGAGCTTATAAACTCTCATAACCCGATCCGCACGCTGCCACGCCCCCTCTCTGTTGCCACGCCCCACCTGACCCTTTCCTCGACTGCAGCCGTTTCCGGAATCCGCGGCTCTGTTTAGATTACCCCTCGATCTGGTGATACTGGACCCCTGTCAGCCTGGCCCACAGCCAGCGCCACCCGGGGGTAGCAGCAGGGTTTGTTTTGGTTTGCTGCCCGCACGGTGTGCCGACATTCACGTGTTTGGGTTAAATGTCAGCAGTGGCTTGCATTTTGCACTCAACTTCCTGGTTTTGAACAGGCCGTGTCAGTTTGACACCGGCAGATAAAAATGCTATGGAGGCAGAGGCAGCTGAAATGCTAAATTTGGCATTGAAATTTGTCTATGGAATTGATCCCGACAAATTGCAAATGATCCATCACCGAGCCTGGAGAAAGGTCTAGCAAAGCCAGTGTGAGCTTAAAAAAGTAATGTCTTCACATTATCCTTGCCCAGTATGCCACTCTATGCTTTTGCAGCTTCTTGTGTCCAGTAACCGTTAGCTAGTTTCGTCACCAGTCGCTTCATTTCATTCCCCTCGTCTTTAGTTCATGTGCTAACTTATAACTATTTGTCCTGAAGCTTTTAATGACGCCGCATGTTTTCCGTCCTAATCCGTGCTTTTCTCTTTATGTGGTATTTGTCCTAGTTGCATCGCTTACCGCGCTAGTAATACTATCGAATGACGATACGGTGTAAGATGATAAGCGTGATATTGCATAAATGCTGGTAGTCAATTTGGAGCTTTTTCGTAGACGTTTGCATAATCTCTTGTTGCAATGAACGTAGGAGGTAATAATACCATTTAAGGTTAACCTTTCTTTGTGACGTTTTAACATCACGTTTTTTTTGTCAACCTAGGATTTATAATAGTTAACCACGATTAAACTGCTATCTGAAACGTGTGCTCACCGATGGCTCTCTGTACCGCCCGTTGCATCGTGTTACCCCGTCCTGCCGACAGACGCGTCCAGTCCGGGCTTCGCTCGCTCTCTCTCCACCCACTCTCAGCCGTCTCCGCGCACTCTCTCGGCGTTCCGGCACGCTGCCTCGCTCGAGTCGAGCTCACCTCCACCCCTGCCTCCGGCGGTGCGCGTGCCTCGTCACCCTCTACCAGACGGCGCCGAGCCCGGCCGGCCGCCGCCGCCGCGGCTGGAGCGCAGCAGCGCCATCTGCCCCGAGCCCCCGCCGCCAGCGCCACCTGCCGCGCCGGCGCCGCCTCCGCCGCCGGCAGCCTCCAGTCACGATAACTCTGAGTATATGCTATCGGCGGATCCGGCGGCGGCGGCCTCGGCTGCAGCGGCGGCAGCGGCAGCGGAGGAGGAGCAATACACCAGCCTGCTGGACAAGGAACCCCTGTATCAGGTGCGTCCTACATTACTCTTCGACCAAAAGTACCCGTACAGCTCCATTCAACGGCCGGTGTATGTACGGCGCAGTCCTGCATTCCTCAATGGCTTCATTCTTGACTCAGAAGCGCCCCATCGCAGCCATTCTGACCTCTCTCTCTCCCCTCCCTAGGTGTACCTGCAGAACCGGTGTTACCAGGAGTCGGTCAGCGTCAGCTCTGAAGACGACTACGAAACCATCCGCGAGTCATCACCGGCCGTCGGCGTTGACGCGGAGTGCAGCTCGGACCCGCCGCCACCTCCGCCGCCCGCCAGACGCCGCATGCCGTCGCGTCCGTCGGCCATCGAGCTGCTGTCGGCGCCGGCGGAGGGTCAGAGATCACTCTGGTGTCAGCTGCCAGAGGTCATCAGCAGTGGTGTACTCGGTAAGGGAACGCATTGTTTCGGAATGAATAGGAACGGCTGCCAGCGGGGGTGAGGACTCCCGATGAATTTAGCTCATCTGCTATCGTCCTGGCCTTCAACAGTTTTTTTTTCATTCGGCAGTCCTCAGCTCGGCCTCAATATTTCTGCTAGCAAGGCTGAACTTTATCAGGCTTTAACTGTTCAATTACGTCAGGTTGTGATAGCTACCGCTCAATTTTGTACTTTGCTCTGAAATCATCCCCTGTCGCCCTGCTATTGGAGATGACACGCAAGTCTGTACCGTTTGCTAACCTGTTCTCCCGCTTCCCGTCTTGAACAGACTCGCTGAGCAGCGAGCAGAAGCGTCTTCAGGAGGCCCTGTTCGAGGTCATCAGCTCAGAGGCCTCGTACCAGAAGTCGCTCTCGGTACTGGTGCGCCATTTTAAGGAGGAGCCCACTCTGTGCGAGTTCCAGTCACCAGACTGTGTCATCAATAAGGCCGACTACCAGGCACTCTTCTCCAACGCCGACAAAGGTGAGCTACTGACGGACAAAGTCGGGCTGGATTGATGGCGAATATATAATCGTCAAGCACTGCCAGGCCCAGGAGCGACCGTTGATTGTCAATATACCTAATGTTGGTACTCGATATTCATCATAATGATTTTAAATCTTTGTAACCAACTTACCATTCACGCTTTTATGCTGAACTCACAAGGCATTCCTCTGAACATTTTGTTTAGCTGTTTTCTCTGATGTTCACCCCATGATAGTGCGTCTCCGCTCCAATGCATTCCTAACCCGTCTTGTCTTATTCTCGTCCCACAGTGCGCCAGTGCTCGGAGGCGTTCCTGACCGGTCTGGAGCGGACCTGGCAGGAGAATGTGATGCTGCATGGTCTATGTGAGGTGATACAGACCCACGCCGCCACAGACTTCCAGGCGTACAAACACTACTGCGCTAACCAGATTATCCAGGACAGGAAACTCAAGGAGCTCAGGTGGGTGGCGAAACGGGAATCGGGGGAAGGACGCTACATTGTTGTTCCAATCAAAATGACAACGAAAAGCAAGATCTTTTGCGCTATAATTTGATTGATAGGCTGTGATAAAAACATTTCCGAGGTGTTATAACCCAGAACATTCTGAGCTACTGTCGGAAGTAGACAATTTTATTATGTCTTACAATATACTCTCGTAAAGCATACATTTCGACACTTCTTCACGTAACATGGCGTAATTAAACCTCTCAATTCCCTTTACAGAGACAAGAATCCTGCGTTCGTGGAGGTGCTGAAGCGTCTGGAGGCGTCGCCGCAGTGTCAGAGCCTGAGTCTGCACTCGTTCCTGATGCTGCCGATGCAGAGGGTAACGCGACTGCCGCTCCTCGTCTCCGCCATCCTGGTCAAGCTGGAGCCGGGACACCCCGAGTACAATAGCTGTCAGCAGGCCTACCAAACTCTCACTCAGGTACGCAGACGGTGAAGATGAGTGGTCGTCGTTAAAGGTAGCTGCCTGTGCTGGTGCGAGTATCCTATGCTTGGAAAAGTCATGCTTGGCAAAGTATCTCAAATAAGCTTAGAACATGCCTGGTAAATTCATTTTTGAGCCACTGATACGTTTAGCGTCGGCTGACAGATGAAAATCTAAGGACTAGTTTTCGGAGAATCCCTACGGACTACACGTAATCAGGTTATTGCCGACAGATTTCTTTGACGTCGGGCGCCTGCAGCTATGCTGTACCGCAATACACATAGTGCATATTATTGCCGGTAGATGTCTCTGGCATCGGGCGCCTGTACTCGTATCTATGCTGTACCGCAATACACGTAACGCATATTACTGCCGAATGCCGATAGATGTCTCTGGTGTCGGGCGCCTGCAGTTATGCTGTACCGTAATACACGTAACGCATATTATTGCCGATAGATGTCTCTGGCGTCGGGCGCCTGCAGCTATGCTGTACCGCAATACACATAACGCATATCGCCTAACATGTGGATGCGAATTGCGATGTGATAATGCCGATGGACCGGAGTTTCTGAGACACAGTGCTTGGGTGCTTATGAGGTATTCAGTTCGATGTTTTTTCTTCAGCTGGTTGACGGTGTTTGTCATTTGCTCTCATCTAGTATACGGTGTTTGACGTTTGGGGCATTCCACGTCAAATCGAACAAAAATCGGCTGTTTTGCACCTTACCATCAGCGATTTCATTATAAATTTGTGAGCGAGTTCCTGTGTCGCCCCGAACATTACATTGATGTTTTTTGCACATTCTGACCACAGGTCTTCTAAATATAGGGCATCGAATTTTTACAAAATGTTGCATCTTTATATTTTTGAACGACCATTACTTTGGTTGTACTTGTTTGATTTGAATGAAATAAACCTTACTGTTTAGGTAATTTCTTAAGCATTTGTTTAGAATTGCACATACTTAAATATATGACCTTGAAATTTGCTTAACTCTGTTCTTAAGCACAAAAATTGAAATAGCAAAAAACACGTCACCTTCGATTTGGCTGATTTTCATATATTTTATTGCCTACCATATTCTTAACAACCTGTGAAAAAATTAGAGTGGGCCATTCATAAGTTTTGAAGAAAATGGCACATATGCAAACGTATGTTTGCACGCGCAGTGGAGGGAGAAGAGTGAATTTCGCCCCAACCCTCCTGTTTTTCGCCAATATCTCATAGTAGTAATGCGAAATTAATTATAGCTACCTGTCCAAAATTGAATTGCACATCTCATCGTGCAAGCAAGAAGAAAATCGGTTCACAACTGGTCTAGTAATAGCGGTGTAAAGTGAACATCCTGTCGCCGCGGCGACGCGGCGACTCGGCAGCCGGCGCCGACCGCTAGCCGCCGCCTGAATTGTAGACTGTGCCGGGACGGAACGGAACGGTTCCGTCTTTACATCGCGCTCCTTACCGCTGATTACGTTCGATTCGCGTCAAATTTTGTGAGAAGACTAAGAAATGTATAGACAATCTTATGGTGTAAGAATTTTGAAAATCGGTTGGTAAACAATTGAAATATGAACGTGTAAACACAAAATTGTGATTGTTGCGTTTCCCGCGTCGGCCGATCCCGCCTCAGCCGGCGACATGTTACTCTTAGCAGGTCTCTAACTGCCACATTTATTATTGGATTAACTAGAAATTCCCCATACATACTCAAAAATGTATTTTCTTTCGTATAGTGGATAAAAAGACGTAAAGATATCGTTGCGTGATAATGTTTTCGTTGAATTTTTGGCTTCATGATGCATTTCCACACGGCTCAAAATTCACCGCAAAATACCGTTTGCCTGAGACACTTTTACTATGGAACTTGAATGCTTGACTACGATGACTATGTATTTCCATCCTCGCAGAGTTTGGGATATCACTTATCAGCAATCATTCATTTCAGAAAGTGTACACAAGCAATCAGGTCTTGACTCTGTCTTTCAAGGTCACGCGCGGTTGCGTGATGTTGATGCATGAAAACGGGATTTGCCGCGAAAGTTATGAATGGCCCACTCCAATTTTTTCACAGATGGTTAGGAACATTGTGACGGACATAATATGTAAAAATTACCCGAATCGAAGGTGACGTGTTTTTTGCTATTTAAATTTTTATGTTTTAATTCAAGGTCAAATGCATTTCAAGGTCACTTCAATTTAATTTCATAATTAAAAATCAAAGCCTTATCAATTGCCTACAAGACCCTGTTAATATCATTTTGATACCAGAAAAGGAACCAGAGTTATAGACATTTAAATAATTGATGTGTGGCATTTTTGGCTATATTTGATGACCTATATCTCAGCGATACTTAATCAAATTTCGAAAATATTATACGTAACTCAGTTTTGAACCATGCCCAGTCTGCCTACAAATTTTCAGAAAAATCGAAGGGGATGACGGATTTCGGTGTTTGATTTGACGTGGAATGCCCCGTTTGTTTTCAGCTGTTAACGATGTTTATCGTTTGTTTTTTTTAGCTGGTGAAGGACTGTAACGAGGAGGCCCGCCGGAACGAACGGCTCGAGGAACTGGTCTCCATCAGTCGACAGCTGGTCTTCAAGGACATCAAATCCTTCCCTCTAGTCACTAAGAGCCGGTGGGTGACGGGGCTTGAATATTCCGAGAGTGTTATGCCATTCCGGTTCCAACTAGTTCTTCCTTGCTCTTTATAGCAACCATTACCGTTGAAACGTCATTTGCAGCTATTGGAATCATTTTCCAAAATCCCTCACAATGTTCAACGTTTTTGTGCAACGTTTTCAATGCTTTCAATAGTTTCCAAAGCCATAAGCAAGAACAGCGTGACAGCGTCATATTTGCACGTCGAGTTCCGGCCTTGACATGTAGTTTGCCGTTTCGCCGCCAGATGGCTCATCAAGAAGGGGGAGCTGGTGCGGACCATCTACAAGGCTGATGACTCGAAGCTTACCTTTGGACGAAAACAGACGCGGCAACAGACTGTGCACGTCTTCCTCTTCAACGACCTGCTCCTCATCTCAAAGAGGAAAGGGTGAGTACATGATTATAAAAGTTGGTCTGTTGAGCGTCCAAAACATCGACGTAAAATTGAAAAATTATGCGTATAAAGCGGTTACAGCGTGTATTTGCATAGCAGAAGCTGCTGTCCATTACAGAAAAATACGAATAATCTGGTAGCATGTCAGAAAAGAAGGAGACTGCTATTTCAACAGAGAAATACCACATCTGTGTTTATCGTAACATGTATGTTTATCGATATATTTATGCTTATAGTACGACCAAGTCAAAATGTTGCACAGTACCATCCGATGGAGTAGTTCTTTGAGTTGGTGACGCGTCGCCTGCCATCCTCAACTGACCACCTCGTGCTTCCGTTTTCCCAGTGACGACTCGTACACGGTACTGGACTACTGTCTGAGGAACATGGTTCAGCTAACGGAGAACGCCGAGGATCGGGCTGAAAAGTTCCTCCTCACCCTGCTCAACAACCACGAGGGCAAGACGGTCGAAATGGTACGCACCAGGGGAAAACGCTGGAACTGGTTGGCAAATGGTGCTAGCGAATTTTTACCATTATTTCATGCTTATTTTTTTCAAGCAGCTGCGTGAGAAACATTCACCGAAAGAAACGTGGAACTAGAAAATGACACACAGTAGCTGGCTACAATGTCGGGAAGCCGAATATTATGATGCATAAGTAATGCTATGGTAGCTCGATATCGGGACCCTGGTAGCGGCACTCTTTGAAATACGCTGATTGCATCATTGACCATTTCCTCTCTCCCCAGCTGTTCTGCTGCCCGGTCGAGTCAGAGCGGGTCCGCTGGCTGGAGGCGGTGATGCCCAAACCGCAGCGCACCGATACGGAGACCGTCTACGAGAGCTGGGACTGCCCCCAGGTGCAGGCCATGCACCCGTACACGGCTCAACAGCCCGACGAGCTGACCCTGCAGATTGGTGACGTCATGAAGGTGCACAGAAAGGTGCCCGATGGTGAGTGACGTCACAGGGAGGGGAGTGAGTGGTGGGTGCATGGTGTATGAGAAGGAATCGTGTGTATATATGTATATCATTTAAGGTGCTTTGCCTATTAACATCGTAAATTAACGCTCGCGAAACGACGCGTAGGTACTAATCTAACGTTTTTTATTTGGCACGGCTTGTAAGTACGGCTAGCATGGTTTGATGAAATGTGAAAAATGTAGCAGACCTCATCATGTTCTGCTGCATAGGCAGTGTTTTATCAATATCTTGAATGAATCTCAGACGTAACAGGTCGCTGGTGTCTCTTTCGCCGAACCATCTCGACCTATACCTTGGCCTAAAGTAGCATCGAGCAAACTGCAGAATGCAGCTATGCTAACTAAACGTCTCGAATCCGGATTTGGTTATATCAGTCAGCACCCTGCCTTTTACATGAGCGAGAGTTCCAGTCACGAAGCCATGCTTTAGCTCGGCTTTTGTAAACTTGACGTTTCAAGAGTTACAACTTATATATGGACGGATACATACATGTTTTTCGAAGGATGCGCGGATACTAAAACCCAAGGATGAGCGTGAGTGCCCGCTATTCTCTTGTGTGAGTGTGGCCAGCTAGTTGAATGTGGCTGGGTGATCTCTGATAATTCCCTGAGGTGACCTGGGTGACCTCAGGTTTCCCCGGGTGACCCCGGATGACCTCAAGTGGCCTCAGGTGACCTTAGGTAACCCCGGGTGACCTCGGGTGACCTCATATGACCCCAGCTCCGGTGGTTTGTGGCAGACCGCCGCGGGGCGCCGGACTGGGTGGGGCACGGTCGCGGCTCTAGCTTCTCTCCCTCCACTAACGCTCTCCTGCCCCAAAGGTGCGGCGGCGGCTGTCTCGTGACCCCCCACGTGACCCCGCGTGACCTGCGCAGTCGAGCCCGGCAGTCAGCCACCGTAAGCTGCCCGCTCAGCTCTCTCAGCCTGGGGCGGGGTGTCCTGCATAGGGTTCTGTCCGGGCGGCTTTAGCCTGCGCTGGGGGTCGGATAGTGGTGATCCGTTGTGCCCGATGGTGTGTTTGTGGCTGCCGACACTGGTGAAGGGTTGGTGACACGTCTGCTTGGGATACAGACCAACACTGCGTGGTGGTGACTCCTTATACCAGACACGATCTGCACATGCGTACTTCTTGAAACTTTGACCCCGATGTGAAAACAGGTCGGAGAAGCTCCAAACTGAATGCAGCTGCAATGAAAACGTATTTCCTATGCGGGGTGTTCTGTACAGTTATCGGACCGTTATGAGTGTAGTTCTTTCAGTCCTCACCGATTGTTGTGTGCTAAAATGGTTGTCAAAAATGTCCAGCGATGGTTTCCACTTGTGTTGCTTTTCTTTTTTTACTCTAAATCAGCTCGTTGTCTGTTACGTCAAAACGGTTGTTCGTTTGGTTTGGATGGGATATGCTGTCCAGCGTCTTTAATTCCGGTGTCGACCTTCAGTTATATGTCGCAAAGTTTCAATCGCTCGTTTGCTTTAGTAATTGTTCTTCACTTGTTCGTTTCCATGTCTTTTCTGCACGCTTTACGTTTTATATTCTTATCTGTCCCATAAATCCACTAGAATGTCAGCGCTTGCACTGAACGGAACATTGATATTACGTTAACTATGAAACGTAATTAAACTCGGAGCAAGCGCAGCTAACAAGTGAAAAATATATGCTAAACAAGTTTTTAAAAGCCATCATCACAGTCAACTAATTCAGTTACCTAAACGTGATGCGACCCCAAATACACAATACTTCTCTTTTCTCATATAAACATCTGTCTTCCGTTGTCTTTAAAGTTGCGTTCTTCCGTTTTCAGTTTTATATTTCTTCTTACATTATCTTTCGGTTAGATCAGATTCAAAAGCAAACATGTTGAATCGTAAATCAAAGTTTTTTACTTTGATGCCTGTTTGCGATTACCAGATGAAATATCATTTTAATTAATTTTGTACTTTAACACCGCATTACAGCGACATACGACCGATGTTCATTTTATTTAGCTCCCTAAGCCTAATTAAATCAAATAAATCGGAACCCCGGAATCACTCTATAACGATAAACCGAAATATTTTCTTTTCTGGCCCCGGCTGACCCCCTGTTCTCGTCCCGGCAGGCTGGTACCAGGGGATGCGTCTGATGGACTCGGCCACCGGCTGGTTCCCCAGTAACCGCTGCCAGGAGATCATGTCGGAGCACGTGCGAGCCCGCCACCTGCGACAGCGCTACGAGGTGCTGCGCATCACGGGCGACTTCCTGCGCCAGGAGCGCGAGCGCAAACTGCGCGCCGAAAAGGAGGCGGGCCGGGGCGGGTCGCCGCCGTCCGAGCGGGCGGCGGCCGTCTGAGGTGCCGCCCCCGCCCCCGCCCCCGCCCCCACCCCCGCCCGGTGTGGGGAGTCCAGCCCTGTGTTCGAACTGGCAGTCCTGCCGACTGGCGCCGCGCGCTCCCAGCTGTGACCGCGGACCCGGACACGGCGCCGGTGTGTCCGGATCCCACGGACCGAGCGCGGATCCCCGGTCACCGCGCGCGTGAGTCGTATTCACATTCCTGTTGTGAACTCGGGTGACAGGATCTGTTGCTGCCAAACCCAATGTGATATTGTTTTAGATATGTTGGCCGATGTAACTTGTAGTAGGCAGATGGTTCACTAATGTGTTTATTAACATGGCGGCGCGCTGAGCAGTAGGTCGTATCTCAGTCAGTTGTTGGCGAGCTGCAGTCGCATCGTGAAGTCTCGTGTTAAGTCGTCGGCGCGGTTAGAATATCAGCGTTGACGGCAATAATGTTGTAAATATTCCATGTGGAGCCTTAAGAATGCCGCTTTATTCATTGCAATACAGAATGCTCAGAGACGTGTTTCGGTTTGTGTTGGATGCGTTGACACATGGATAAACCTGGAAATGTAGTAGCTGCCGAGAAATCTATGGTGGCACTGGCTCGCTCAATCATCCACAGCCTTATTTGATCACAAAGCGTGAGTCACTTGGAGCTGAATTAAAACATTCTGAAACAGGTGAAGACTCACTTCTACGCCATGCCGTCTGAATCACTCGGGGTATGTGCGTGTTAGAGCGGACGTAAATCCTGACCGGTATTTTGGAATGAATCACACCTCGATCACAACCAGTCCCGTTTGCCCATCGAGCTAGTGCGGTGAATCTCGGAGTAATGGGGTGTCGGGTGAGTCTCGAACGTTTATGGTTGGATATTTGCTTCTCCAAAACGGTAGTTGAAGTGCTTTCTGTGTAGATCATAACGACGAACAGCGTCATTACATTTATTTTTTTTTTGCTTTGACCGCCAATTAAACAGAATTTCTAGTCGCCATCTAGTTTTATCATGGTGTGTATGTAAATAAACACCTAAACATTTCACGTACTTAACTGAAATAAAATGCTCTAAATGTCTTCATTGAAAGTAAAACATGAATTCGTTTATAATCAAATCGTTAAGGGTAAATCGTTTCTCGTTTATTTAAACGTGACGCATGCATGTCCCAACGTTTCGTGATATTCACCTTATTAATTTTCCAATAGTTCGACAATTATCAGAATAGTATTGTTAAGATCACAGGTCTGACTTTTATATGGGCTTTGAGGCAGAAAATGCCGCGAAACATCGGACTATTTAGGTGCTTACTTTATTTGTTCGGCGAATTTATAATACTCGATAAACGATCAGAAACTCACCATTGACGCTTATGCAACGTTTTTACGGTAGACGCTTGTAGCGGTCAGTGCTGAATTTAACTTCCTAAGCGGTCAGATTTCATCGGCGCATGATTCTTAGATGCACTTAGCTCTATCTTTTCAACGGACGGATTGACAAAGCCGGGGTCAACCGTAGCACACATACCTACATAAATACCATATTCGCTCCTCTAGCGATCGGGGTAGCCGTCAGCATTCGTCAGTCTATGTCCCTTACCTAACACCGCGATGCTATGTCTTATATCGACCAGTCGGGTCACGGTCTCTAAGCACAGTCTCAATTTCTCTACTGTCTCTCCAATTCCCATGAGAATGGCACTTGGCCGACTATTTGCCACCGGGGGCTGGGGCACACCGTGGATGATCCAACGCGGGGAGGACGGCTCGTGGGTTGTCCCGTCGAGAAGCCTGTCCGGCGGGACAGTATAGCCTGCCAGGCGCCCGTTCTCTGGCTGTCGCACTGCCGCACGGAGTCGCTGCTGAGAGGGTTTCAAATCCCCGGCTAAAATAGGACGGTAGAGTGTATTCTTGGATCATAGCGTAGCGACCCTAAAGATTGCCTCACTGCAAGTTGCAACGGCGGACTCGGGACAGTAGCTGCCGCCATGACCTCGTCATACACTCAGCATTTGAAGCATCGCCAAGCGACAAAGGTAAGCACTAAGCACTAATTATTTTCATCGATTTTGGCGGAAAGATCGCATCCAGGTATATATGTAGAGCTGTAGGCATCAAGGCCCTGATGCTTTTGTTATTGAACAGCTCTTCTCTTTCGCCTCCCGATACCATTCCTGCGCTCTTAGACAACGGGCAATAACGGCATATAGCCGGCCCCCGCTCAGTCAGCATCATTCCAGCCCATCTCTATCCGTCGGCCGTCCCCTGAGCTGAGTCACCTGAGCTGACCGGTACATACCACCTGAGCAGCTCAGAGGGACGGCTCACGACTCTGACTCACGACCATAGTACACAGCGGTCACGTGACACGGTACACAGCGGTCACGTGACACGACTGAGTGACGCACCGGCGGGTCACGTGGCCAGGAAATGCCGTACGCTTCCGTCGGATGGCCGGAGGAGAGGACAGGGAGGCCACTGAGGGTCTGACTGGAGTATAGCTGAACAGTTATGTGAGACGGCACCTCATCTACGGGGATCTTACCGTCTCGAGTCAAAACACAAAGGCGTTGGATCGAGGTGGCACCGAAGCGCTCATAAGAGGAGCTTAATTGATGTACATACATACGTGCGTATCTCCCCTTTTCTCGAATGGTTCACCTGTCCTTGATTTCAGTGTACCTCCAGTAACGCTGCCTTCCATTCATTTTAGGTATCTTACATAACGCGAATGCACGACTATTGACTCCGGTCCCAGCTTTCCATCAAAGCGGTACCTACCATGCACAAATCCGCAGACTGGTTTTGGAGCTCAAATCCATTTTTTATCGGTGGGACGCTCGGAGCGCATCCAAACCGGTTCTTTGTTAGGTACTCGATGACATCAGCCTGGTCGGCAGAAAACTCCGACCACTGCGGAGCTGCAGCCTCAAACATCACCGGCCCATCCATGGCTATAATAATGCTTACTTACAGAGGTAGGTACAGAACATATGAAATAATGTAGTTAGCAATAGCGCTTTTAGCACGATGCGCTTGACCAGCGAAAGGGATGGTGCCCAACAGCGGCTCGGCAACCATTTTTTGGTAAAGTTAGCTAATAATTATTTTCCAATGATCCGATTACTGAGCCTCTACCTTGGAACATTTAACCCCAAAGGCCACCGGTGGGCCTAAAACTTTAAAATGATCGGATACGTATTAGTCGCTGCATCTCGTAACGACGCAAACGACTCGTTTTCTTCCTGCGCGGCTCTACTTCGGTGAAACGGTGAGGGTCTCCACCCCTCGGCTGGAGCGTGGGTATGTAGAAAACCGATAGGTCGAGCGAGTTTTGGGGCTCCACAGTGCTTTTACCATGCCCTCGCCGGAATTGGCGATTTTTTTTTTTACATTTACCCTATACACCCCGGCTAAGGGGATCGAGGTCGGGTGGGACTCCCCCTCGCTCCTTTGACCCTTAAGCGGTCAAATTTGAACTATAATTTTAGTTCAAATTGAGCTAAATCTCCACGAAAAGAAATGACTAATGAGTGTGTGTAGCCCGTTATGAGACGCGGCAAACGACCTCAGAGGTCAGGTCGAATGGCCCAATGGGGGTCCGATCCTACAAAGGCCTTCATAGAATTGGATACCCGGCCTACCTACGGGTAACGGGCCCCTCAAAATTTGAGAGCGGTGCGAGTCGAACGAAGCGGAATAGGCACCCAGACCCTTACATACATACAGACAGGTCAGTACCTACAGGCGTGCCGCGTGGGTCTCACATTGGCTGTCAGGGCACACATTATGACATTAGCCTGGCTGAGACCTGGGGATGGCCGATGTTTGGTAGCGGTGGGAGCGGTGGGAGCCGGGAGGGTCAAAATGCCCCTGCCCCTGGCCCTGCATGTCGACATGTCGGGTCGGTACTGGATTTCACTTATTTGTAAATGCTTTACCACATATCGAAACACTCGCAAATATTTTTTGGGAAGCTATCCCGTAAGTTTTCCACCTCGAAACAGGCGCACCGGTGACCGGACTTCAGATCACAAAACAAAATATAAATTAAAATGCAATAGTTAAAGTTCTTGATTAAATTCAGGTGGCTCAGCTGATTTTATCAAGTGACATCTGCGCCGTTTATGTACCGGTATTTTGAGCCAGGTAGATCTCTTTGTTGTTTTCAAAGTTGGCTATCTGTGATCGCGGTGTTGGTGGGTGGTGGTGTCTTCAGACCATTCCATGGTGCATAGAAATTATTAGGTTTGTATAATGCTGGCATTTCGTGCAGATAAACATGCTATATTTACTGGTAGGGACCCTGCTTGGTTTGGCCTGAAGGGAATACTCATTCTGACCGACGATGGATCGTGGCTGCTTCCCAGCTTTTCTTGCTCTGGTCATCATTTGAAGACTTATGTTACCTTATCTCATAATGTAAACTTCTTCAGTATATTCAGCAAATTTGATTTTACATTGTCATGAAATCCTACAAGTCATAATTTTCTAATATCTCAAAAGGAGGCTAAATGAACCCGAAGTATCGTAATGGGGCACCTCACTCTTTTCAGCTTTTTTGTGAGGATGCAAAGCTTAAATAGTCTGGGCTGGAGCAAGGGCTGGAGTGCAAAGCACTGCAGGAGAGACTGCCAAACATGGTTAAACAAAATCTCGGTGATGAGGTGGTACTCAGCCAATGTGTCAGTGTTGTGCTTTGCTGCATGGATAATTTGAGTGATCCTTTTATTGCAGCTTTTGTTATTGGATGGAAATATTTATCAACTTTATAAAAAAGGATTATAGACCTTGCTTGGTGTGAGCTGGTGCAGATTTTCTGCTTGTTGGTTCTGGGCCAAGTGTGGGCATGTCTGTTATTAGTTATTACCTTGGTCGTTGCTGTTGCCGCTTATCAACTATGCTGCCACACTTTTCAGTCTGACCACACTTGCTGGTCACAAGAGGTTTGACAAAGCAGCAAGCATTGAGGAAAATTTGCTAAGATCTGGCTGGTTATTCTCAGCAAAAGTTGACAAATTAAACCACTGAATTTGTTAGGTTTCACCTTAGTGTGTAGATTTGTTATGTAAATGATTGATTGAATGCTAACAATCCCAAATTTTCATTGGGTAAATTACCTGTGCAGTAGTTTAGTACCTAGGCACCTAAGTACTTTATCATGGTAAAGCCTACACCCCTCCCGGCTCCCTTCAAAAGTTGTGCGACATTGATGCAACAGGAAGGAGAAATCCACACTGACCAAGGTTTTCCTGCATCTCTGGTCCTATTCCCTTATTGATTGAAGTTATTTGTGAATGCAGGTACTGGTTCCATAGCTCAGTTGGCAGAGCATTGGGCTCTGGGTGGTGAGAGCATGTGTCCCAGTTACAAATGTGGGGTAAGTTCAAAGAGAGATGGGCACTCGATGCTTATAAGCATCTTGATGAGTATGGTTGCAGTTGATGGTAGGCAGTAGCCAGGCAAAGGCAGTGAGAGGACCAACCATACACAGCTATGTGCACACCTTAAACTTCAGACTCAAAATTATGCCATAGGCCAGGCATTGTGTGATCGAATGGTCAAAATTATGCCATAGGCCAGACATTGTGTGATCGAATGGTAGAGCACAGCCGACAGGGCCAATGCAACAAGCTCCACTTAGCAAGGACTCTATCATTGTGAATCCTTCCATTTGAAAAGCTTTGGACTTTGGACTAAATTTGTTTTAAAAAATGGTGAAGTGGAAGTGAGGACCTCTGAAATACTTTGTTAATACCAATCTTTTGCTTGACACCTGATGAGGAAAACTGCACCAATGCTGTTAAATGTAACTAAGAAAATAAAGTTAGTACCTAGGTAAGGTGGTTTAGGGTAACTTTGAAATAAATAAGGATAGTAACTACCAGTAAACTACCCTGACTGACTCAATAACTATCCCATCCTGATCTGAAAAAGGATGTTTTCAGAGAACATGCTAGTTGAACAGAACAACAAGATGCCTTTCTACTGCAACTTACCAATGAGGCCATCTATATTTTGTTTGTGACATTGCAATGTGGTGTAGTCAAAATTGAAAGATCCTTATGCATCTTAAACTAAAAATGCATTGCACCTCTTGCACTGTTAGCATTTGGTCTCCACTTAAGCTGTTGTCTGACCATTGTCTGTTTTCAGGTGTATTGTGACTGTTGACCTGCTATGGACCTAGGACATCCACAGCGTCCCCCACCAAGTTATAACCAGGCTGTGGCCCTCCACCCACCAGGTAAGCCTAATGACACTTCAATTACAGGCTATTTTCAAGTAATTTTGTCTTGCCACCTTGTTACTCACATCTCTCAGAAACTTTGTCTTTGATTGCATGAATGCTGTCCAGCATCATTCAGAATTCCACAAACGTATGTAAAACAATAGCTGCTGAACTTTTCGCTTCAAATTCACCAGGTGTCAGTTTGCTTCACTGTCACAGGAATTTTGCATGCAGCCTTGCCTCGACTATTGACTTTAAATCGATGGCTGACCAGTGCAGTGCTAGAGCTAAGAAGTCACTTGACCATCGATTCCGATTCCTGATCCCATCCTGTAGCCAACCATTACAACTCAGATGCATCTCCGGCCAGACAATGTGACAACGAACTGTCGGCTACCGGCAACGAACCGCATAGGTACCCCACCCACTGTCCTTTATTGTGATGCTTTCTCTGAATGGCATTTTATTGACAGTTGTAATTTTGTTGCTACCAGAACGTGTCAGCCTTCCCAGAGGACTGTTGCTGAGAATGATGAACCCACGGGTACCATGCATGCTACGGATGCCCGTGCGTGCCTGCAATGTCACTATTAATTGCCAGCAGTGTCAAACATGTTTCTTATCTATGTGACTCCAAAGTGTCACGGTGACTTTAATTACTCCGACAGGAGCCCGCACCGTCAGCGGCAGCGACACAGACGTCTCCACGTCTGCCGAGAACCTGACGCACGAGGAGAAGTATGTGCTCAGCCATACGGAGCGTCAGGACCCCCAGGTTGGTGAGAACGGAGCAAGGTTCTATGTGTCACCGTCGACGTACCCAGCGGACGATGGAACGAATAAAGTCATTAGTCATGCTTAGTATATATTTTTAGCTATGTTATTGATTAACTGTCATTTTTTATGTGCATGGGTGAACATATTCGAATGTTTTTATCAATGCCTATGCAATTGGTTTGACGTGAAACATATGTTACACGGAGAACCGTTTTTGCTTTAGGTTCAGATGTGTTTAGTCCCGTTATTGTCCGCGCTTGTCTTGTGATTCACAGTACACTGTTCTACAATTCCCTCGGTAGTGTCACATTTCAACACACACTCCGCAGTCCTCTGCCATGTCTGCTCTGTAGCCGCCGGTGGTGTCTCGCCGCCGGCCGGACCCCCAATCCACCCGGTCTGATTATGTACGTGAGAATCGCGCCCAGAGCCGTTTCCTGTCATTGTTTGCGAGCTTTTTACGGCTCTGGCGTGGGCGTCTCGCTGGCGGCCGACTGTTTTCCTTGGTCCTTGACCGCGCGCGATGCGTTACAGGGCGAAGAGAACCTGGTGAAGACTGCGTTGACGGGAGCCGACTTCGCCACGCCGGCAGGAGCCATGGAATGGGTCAAAAGGTGCGGAGCGCGCGGTGGATGGTCATGGCTCAGTGGGATGACACTTTTCGTGGGAACGAGGGACACAGCTTTGTCATGATACAGCTGCTTGGCAAATGGGTGGAAGAAAGCGTTGTTTTGTGAATGAATGAGGCGGTTATAGGAGGGAAAGTTTTGTTACATGAAGGCATTGCTGACCACTACTTGGCAGCCATTCTTTTTTCACGGTGCTAGTTTTATTCTTGTTTAAACGTGGGCCTCTTGCTGATGTGCAGTGCTGCTGCCCTTTGTTTCTATGTCTCTATTCCGGTACATTCACGGTTCAAAACAACCTCCCGTGCCATTCATGGGCTCACGCTACGTCGGCTCTTTTATTCTGCCATTGCATGTTAGGCTTTCTAATACATTGTATATTTTGGCAGGAGGAAATGCTTTCCTGCCCTTGGTCTATCGGTATCGTGATAGAATCTCGTAGCATGCCTTTCCCCGATTGCCCTGATCGCATTGAGCCATACTATACCGCTGCCTCGAACTCCGGTAAAAAGCTGCTCGTGTTTTCCGTGAGGAGACTTACGAACGTCGCCATTGTATTTCCGTAAGTGCGTATCACCCTTACGTAACGTGTATGTCCCCCCTCCGGCAGCGTGGAGAAGGCTCTGAAGCGGCCGATGGGCCCTCCGACGGGGCGTCCGCCGCCCCAGTACCCCCGGCCCGGCTCGGCGGCCGCCGCCGCGGCTGTGGCTGCCACCGGACAAATGCCCTACAGCAGTCTGGAGAGGCTGCTGGGACAGAGAGATGGCACAGGACCGGCGCAGGTCAACGGAAAAGAGGTCAGGGTTGGACGAGCCTGCGGTAGATAATAATTGTTCGGGGTCGGTTGATGGGTAAGCGAAGGATCGCTGAGATGACGTACGATCAGACTTATAGCTGCTGCTGGGTGTTGATAAACAGCTGCAGTTATGCATTTGAAGTATATGGTAAGTATAGCAAACTTGCCATGCGCTTTATGTTCTTTTATGCCTGCTTTTAGTAGGCGTTGTCGGCTGGCTGGTAGTATTTTTGTTCATTGTATTTTGCTGGCACTCATTTACCGTTTCCTCCCGAATACCAATGCACTTGAGTAATCGGTCATAAGGCGACGCCGTTTCCATATCTAGGACGATCAGTTACTTTGTTGAATGGTAATTGACAAAACAATTAGCATGACTACTACGGTTTGACGAACTGAGACAGCCTTGCGTTGTCGTATGTTTCCTTGAATATTGTGGGAAACGTTAACCAACGATGATTTTCCCGCATAGGAGCTGTAACATTGGCTTATTGTATACATGCTGTCACACACGTTATATACGTCTTCATTTACGTATGCTCTTTCTTATCAGGCTATTAGTGAGTTCTAGAGTCAGCTATTTCCCGCTTGATGACTGGCTTGTGATAAGTAAGCTAGTCAGTGGGCGTTTATCGCGGTGTGAAGTCGAAAGTGACATCGGTCTGCTATCCTTAACCAGATATTACTATTAACAGCGCCCTCTCAACACACGACATCTCGCCTGACTGACTTACCTCCCTCCCCCTCCGGCCTCCAGACGAAGCCTGCTGCGATGGGCAGCGGCGTCACTGGCACTGGTGGGGGCGGCACTATGAGCGACAAGTCCAATTCGTCGTCCTCCAGCCAGCTGGCGCCGGCCGAAGGCTCGTCGACGGGATACGACGCCGGCGGAGCGGCCAGCGCGAGGGCGGACAAGTCGCCTCTGTCCCGGTCCCAGCCCGATCTGAACCGGAATGGTGCCGGCGACCCTCTACGGTGAGTAGGAAAGGGGTAGAAGGGAAGGGAGGGATGGGAAGATTTGGGATTAGTTAGAAGGAAGTGATGGGGGGATTGGTAGGACGGAGATGGAAGGGAGGGACGGTAAGCCTGGTGATTGGTGGGAAATGAGTGGTGGAAAAGAACGTGATGGGGATGTCTGCTCGCGCATGACTTGTTTGCCAGTATGTTGTGACTGCTGTCTTGTGGGCCATCTTGCTAGTGTCTGTGTACTACTGTCGTGCGCACTAACTGTCTGACTGTTTTGCCCTTTTCACCAGGCCACCGGCTGGTCAGTACCGGGAGCCGCCCGACTACGTAGCCGCCAACGCGCACGAAATGATGCAGATTCTCATGCTGGAGAACTCCAGCCTCAAACAGGAGATTGATATGTGCCAAAGAAAAGTGGCCAAACTTCAAAAGGTGGGTGATTGTAATCTCTAATGTTCTTGCTGTGATTTGCTTTGCAATGATCAGAATCGTCCAATTGCGCTAATTGTAAGACAGAACGAAGCTTGATCCTAGTGCGGTCAAATTAAGTAAGATATGTGAAACGAATATGACATTGTAATCAAAGCTGGTAAATGTCTAATCAGTGAATACAAGGCACGAATGTCAACTCTGGTGATAACGTCTGGAGCACGTGTAACCGCCGTCCGTTTTTCCCGCCTTTCCCACATACTCAGTTCGCGCGCGAACTGGAGAAGCTGCAATCCGACTACGACGACCTGGTACGAACGTGTCAGCGGCGCGAGCAGCTCGAGTACATCGCGCGCCAGAAGCTGACGTCCGAGGTGCGGCGCGCCACCGACCTCAACAACAGTCTGTCCAGCCAGCTGGACACCTCCAAACTGGACGAGGATAAGAAGCAGACCGACCGGCGCGAGGTGCTCATCAAACAGCTGGTCGCTCAGAGTACGTATAGGATGGATGCGTCGGCATGTTGTGGTGGGGATTGCTGATGATGGCTTCTGTATCTTTTTTTCGAGTAGATATACTCGTATGCGGGCAATTAAATGTTCGTGTGTGCAGTGGCGTGACTGTTGAAAATGGAGTGCTGAGTACCTACCGATAAGATCACAGATGCTGACAACATTTTACCTGCCCAGAAAACACTGTTTCTGTTTAATTGCTTCCTCTGATAAAATTTATCGGAAAGTGATTTGAAAACACTTGTAAGATAAACATCGAGCGAAGCTTATCAGTAACGCTCATTTATCACGGACGTGTGTCTTCGCCTGGCTGCTCGTCATACGCAAATCAACAAGTCACACACCTTTTCCCACTAATGCTTCCCTTGTCCCCACAGACAAGGATCTGCAGGCGGTCAAGGAGCGGCAGGAAATCGAGCTGACGGCCCAGCGGGCCACCCTGCAGGAGCAGCGACAGTACATCGACATCCTGGACACGGCGCTCTCCAAGGCGCAGGAGAACGTCGTCAGGGTCGAGAAGGAACACTCGGAACGGGTTAGTGCAGTGAAGTCTGCGAGAGAGCTATCATATTTATCAGCATGCTCTTCAGCATAGCTCATTCGCTCTATTACAACACGAGACCTTTTCTCACAATTTGCATATATTTCTTTGTTTTTTAAAAGCCCTTTTTAGGCTTGTTTATCGTAAACCGTATTATTTGTCATCTAAATAACGGTTAGAGCGTCAAGGGCTTTGATGTTACGCTGTGTCTCAAAGTTACATTCAGGCACCATCGTCGCCACCACTCTCACAACCTCTTGTCTTCCTCTAACTGACAACCCGCTCTCTCCACCCACAGCTGCAGACTCAGTACGTGGACAGAAACACGTTCGTGGAGCGAGTGACTCAGCTGCAGCGAGCGCTCACATCCTGCCACCTAGCCGCCGACCGGCGCGAGGCGGCGCACAAGAAGATTCGCGCCGACCTGGAGCGAGAGATTGCCGAACTGAAGGCTGCCGTTGCCGGAAAACAGGTGGGAGGGGGTTGGGCAGGGAAAGAGAGTGATCGGTTGTTGGTTCTAAATGCGTGTCGGTTTATGGGAATTATGATTTTATTTATCATGAAGTCCGTGGGAGGTTCTTTGCTTGTTTTAGTCGAGTAATTTGCAGAAATTCATCGTGGGCAATTTTTCGAATATCAGTAATTCATCTCACTTTATCTGCCATGCGCCATGTTGATGTAGTCATTAAAACGGTCACAGATTACATGGGTGCTACCGGCGACAATTGTGCTTACTTTCTCCTGACTCCCTGGCGTCGATATATTTTCTGACCCGGGTCTGTCTGACCACCGACAGGGCGACGATAACGGCAACTCGCGCCAGGAGGAGCTGGCCGACCTGCGGCAGAAGCTGCGGGACGCCAACGAGCGCATCCTGATGCTGGAGACGGAGTTGGCGCACTGCCAGCAAAAGTTCGTCGACAACACACGAGAAAGGTGGGCGGTCGCCCGCGTTTTGGGAAGGGAGAGTAATGTTTTCGTGTGTAGATAAACGGACATTTGTGAATTGACGTACTTTTCCTGAAGAGATAGCAGATAAGAGAGAAGAGGGAATATTGTTGCTGTGAAGCTTGTTTTACATTTGTCTGATGCTTAACTAGTCAATAATAACTTCTTTTTTGATAATAGTCACAACTTATCGGTAATCCTATGATAGCTAAAGGACTCTCAACTTTTGGTACTGCACGCAGAATGCCCGTGTCTATTTCACTGTGCACCTCTCCCGTCTGATCTCCCAACTAATTCCTCCTCTGTTCGACAGCGAGCTGATGATGGAGCGCTCGCTGCCGCCGCGGCTGGAGCCCACGCCGCCCCCGACCCACCAGCTGCACCAGCTCACAGGCAGCCAATCACACGCATCAATGGAGGAGAGGTCAGTCAGTTATTGAGATGTCAGTCGTTCAATCTGACATGGGGAGTTATGGGGCAAACCGTTTCATTGGGTAGAGGTAAGTCAGCTGGCATTTCCGTTCGGTGCTGCACTACGTTGCTGCCTTCGCATTCCTAGTGCAAGACGGAAGACTCGTCGTATATCAGGAATGCCTCAGAGCAGCATCAAAGTGCTGATAAAGATAACACGAGTGTTATGACTTATGTGTGTCTGTCAAGCTTATCAATCAAATCAAAGTTATGTAGTAGACTAGTTATCGTCCGTCCTTTGATGACCTTATAATAGTCGCCCTCGTTTTGACGCCTTTTGACCGTCCCGTCCCCCACAGGGTACTGGGTCTGGAGGCCCGGCTGGTAGAGAAAGACGCCATGATCCGGGCGCTGCAGAAACACGCGCTAGAGGTGCCCGCCCTGATGAGAAACCCGCACAGTCGACAGAGTAGCCTGCAGTCGCTGGCCGGCATGAACTCCAGGTCAGTAACAGTCGACAGAGTAGCCTGCAGTCGCTGGCCGGCATGAACTCCAGGTCAGTGAAGAGTAGCCTGCAGTCGCTGCTGGCATGGACTCTAGGCCAGTAAGGGGAGCGTGGGCTGGAGTGTGACAGGGTGAACCCCAAGTGTACGACAATGTGTTGCAATGTGTTCATAAGGTCAAGTATGGTCGTGATTTCATGGCCAGGGTGACTGTATAATATTGAAATAATGACTGAGGAATTCAATATATGCCATATTTCAGTTTGCCTCACAGCGCCATCTAAGAACCTGTACTTGGTAAATGAACGGTTACTGGGGCATATAGGTACAGCCCTCTGCAAACTGCGTGGCTGGTATTCTTCTTCTTTTTCGACAAAAACGAGAATAACGCGGATACTATACTATCGGTCACACGGAAATCGCAACAGCAAGATGTGCGAGACTCCGTACCTTAGATTGGCATTACCATCGCATTCATTTTCCATCCAGTTTGGCAACAAAACCCAAAAATATTAATTGCCCCCAAAACAAACTTTGGCATTTTGTTGCCACACAAAGCGTGTATTTTTGTTTAGTGATAGACCCAATCGGAGGAGTGGAGCATGGCGCATCTATTTGCAGTGAGTTCCGACAGATTGATAGCATAGCATTTGAGTTATTATCGGTTTTGTTGAAAAAATAATACCTACCACGCAGTGTGCAGAGGGCTGTACATTACACAGTAGCGGTTCCACAAAAAAACGAGATTTTCTGGTTCAATTTCAGTCACTTGAGCTTTGTTCTTTACGAACTGACGGCTCAATGGTTGCTTGCCACTTCTGTCTTGTCAGTCGAATTGAACATTTTTGTCATGACTTGGTGGAATGGTGTATGCTGACTGCTTACCGTCAGAATCTGTTTCTTTCGCGTTATGGTTTTAGCTATGTTTACAAACTGAGCTTGTTTCGTTTACGTTTTCAGTCAGGTCCGTCTCTTGTGTGACAATGAATTCATTCGAAGCAAAGCTATTTATGAAACTACATATGTGTCCGTTTAGTTTTCCAGTCGACATTCATTACAAGCAAATCACTGACAAGAATCAGACTGTTGACACATGTTTTCCAGTTGTGTTTCAGCTATTGCGCTGGACACTGTGCCACTGACCATTGTTTCTGTGCGTTTCAGTTACGGTATGAGCCAGCACGGCTACTCTAGTTCGGCGTACAGCAGCAGCAGTCCGGTGCCGCGGCCGCCCGGCTCCACCAACGCCGGCTCTATGATCAATATGAACCGGTTACACACAGGTCAGTCAGTCTACTCTAACATCGCATAACATGACATATCATAACATAACATAACATAACATAACATAACATAACATAACATAACATGACTAACATAACATACACGCTCCTCCTGGCTGGGTGATGCGCACTTAACAAGTAGGTACTAACGCTTCGCTACACACCGGTTAGTGGTGTATTCAGCCTGGGGTGTAACACCTCCCAATGGCGTTTGACGGGCAGTGGATTTCGGGCGGGCCAGTTCCATTCACTGGTGCAGATGGCACTACCTACATACGGGGTGCTGTCGGTTTTACGACACGCATGTGTGTGCTGGGCTGTGTTTACACGCACGGATTTGGTGGTGGTTTATATGCCTGGGCATGATACGGCGTGTTGCATGTGTTTGACTTCAACTCGTGTTATGTAAAGAAACAATAGAAATTGCACTGCATTCCAAGTCGAACGCATTTATAGTAGGTATTTCATGTCTGCCAAATAAGAAGCAGTGCATGCAGACGACTGGTTTCGTCGTCCAGCCACCAGGACTGCCTTATACTCGGCCCCGAGCTGTGTTTTGAATGTCTTGTCAATCATTTGGGGATAGTGTTTAATTTGGCGTTTTGCTTATATCGTAAAAGAAATTGCTTGTGAAATGTACAGAATATAAATTACTTTCGAACGCATGGCTATGGTTGCTAAATCAAAATGTGCAAACCTATATTGGTCCAGTCCGACTGATTTATTCCATTCCATAGACTTCTTTGCTCAGCAAGTTTTGTCACATATTAATCGTGTTTCTAACTACTCGTCACGTCTTATACGGACTCAAGCTGCCGTAATCCTGACGTGTACCGGTCCTCCTTTCGACCCCATTAAGTCAGGATTAAGAACGTCTCGAAATAGCTGTCGGGGGAAAAATGTCGGCTTTGGCCGTTCATCATCAGGGCTTTTCCAATGTATTATACCTCTCTTATGGTGCTGAGGAAAGAAGCGACCTACCACGTAACTTTGTAGCGTTATGTAATGCATTTCTGCTGTCGTCTGACACAGATGAGAGTATTGTGTGCTGAGGTCATTGTTGGTCCAATCTACGAATGACCTAATCGACAAATGAATATTGCCTTACATTGACCATCAATAGCGCGCATTGCTCATGTTTGCTCGGATGACCAACGGCCGCCGAGTGGCCTCCGGTGACGTCACCGGTCAGCCTCGACCGCGTTCTGTCGGCCTCCTTTGTATCGTGGCCGTGTCGCGTGCGCGGTGCCCCCGGGCGATCGCCGGCCGGGCGGACAGCGCGGCCAGCTGGGCCGCCGGCAGCGCGACAGATGTGTGACGACTATCGCAATGGAGCCGACGGCTGCGGGGCCGTCTCGGCCGACCCCGCTGTGCCCGCCGGCGCCGGCCGCGTGTCGGCACATCTGGCGCGGTTATTTGGCGCGCCGGGCCCCCGCGCGCCGCAGCCCCGGGCGCAGACACCCCCGTGTCGCAACGGAGCGCCGCGCGCGACCGGCGACGGCGGCGATGATTGTCGCTATCTCTGGTCATCGTCTGACCTCAGCCGTCGCAGAGAGGGCGGTAACCGGCCGCGCTGATGGCGGTCACGGTACGTGTGCCGCCCGTGTCCGGCGCTACCCCCGAGGTCACTCCCTCCGGCTATCGCGGGACACTGTCTCATGAGCGGTCGTTATCTCAGGTGCGGTCTCGGCGACGCAGGGAGGTCGTCCCGCTGTCCGCCCCCGCTGAAAGGAATGATAGTGGCCGTGCGTGCGATATTTGCCGAGTCGCAGCGGCGGATGGCCGTTTACTGGAGAGCCTGATGGAGTTTTGGAGTAGGTCAGGGCCTGCTGAGTGGGTATTGTAATCGAAAAGGTGCGAAGCTAACTTCTTCGAGGTCCGTTGAAGCTTGTTCGGAACAGTTTGATTTATTTTAGTTCACATTTTTTATGTGGGCATGTAGTACTTCTTCGATGAATTCTTTACCGGTCCCTAAATATTTAACCTTTTTCGTGCAGGTGCATTTATTCTGCACGTGTGCATCATTACTCATTCCTGGTGCCTCACTTATTTTAACTCCTTCATCCGATATCATTTTTACCGTCGACGAATGGCGTCAAACATGCATGAAAAACTGCTGAATCTTTTTATGTATGGCCATGAAATGTTAGGTCATATTCTAGCCGAGATTAAAAAGTGTCACATTTTCATGACAGTACTATGAGAGGCGTTTGAACAGTATGTAACCATCGCATCATTAGCTCCTCGCATCGCCAGCTTGTTCATGAAATACTTTCTTTCCGACAGATCAAGCGAAACCAGAGTCATTTAGTGGTCAATTAAAGGAGCGGAGTGTGGACGAATAGGTCGAGGGAATCGATGAGGCAGAGCCGATTCACTTCACCATGAGACTTGCGAGGCGTTGTTCTCATGACCGTGACCCAGCTTTTCTGAGGAATCTGCTAACGAGCTGGAATGTCCCCGATCAGGAACACATATGCATTTGTGTATAACTTTTTTCGTAACGCGGAGAATACGAATGAGCATTATTTTGCTCGTTACGTTCATAAGTTTTGCGGGACGTTTATGGAGCTGCTTGGACATTTGTCCCGGGTAGCATTTTATGGATTTTTTTCTTTTACCTGTGTGACATGTTTTTACGATGCAACATCCCGGTCTTGGTCTCGGATTGACTCGCATCCCATGTAGCGCATCTAGTTATTTGTTTTTTTCCTCTGCATTTATATTTCATTTGAAGTATAAGCATACATCCTGATTAACTCGCATGAATCCGCGCCGTTTTCTTCAACCGATGCATGCTGGGAGACGGGTTGCCTTGTCGCTGACTGTACAGGTAAGTACTATGCCCTGGTATGCGCCTTACAAATCGCTTGGTGGTGTGCTCGCTTGGGTGGCATTTGATGTGCTTTATTGTGTGTTGGAGCTTAGTTGCTTAACGCTTTGGTGGAGATAGCCAGCTGTGTGTTAATATGGATCGCCTGTAGGTGCAGGAGAAGGCAAATTTTACCTTAGCCTTCCCAAATATTGCGTTGAGGAAATGTTATTCAACTGAATACATTGTCACGTTGTACATACAAGCCGAGGCCCGAAACGTTCTTCCATCATGCAGTAGAGTGACTTGGGCCGGATAGTTACTCGTAGACCCTTTTTTGTTACGTCACTGTGGCTATCTTTTTTCCTGCTAATTGAAAAACTCATTCTGAAGCTGTTCTCGCTGTTCATTCTGATTTTTTTCCGAGGTCAATGCTTTCGTCATACCTATATTTTTATATTCTGGACTTTTCAAAACATACTACAGATTTGACGTGATGCTAGATGCCTGTATCAGTTGTACAGTTTCCACTTTAGGGAGGGGGAGTAGTGGCGTTATATGCGTACAACGTTATTTGTTTATGTTTTAAACATATTTATTTTCGTTGAATCCACTTTGTCTCATTAGTGCATGACTGGCCTTACAACTTGCTTTTCTAGCGGACAAGAACATATAGGTACACGTGTTTTGTGCCGCTCTTAGGTATCGCTTTTTATGAACGTTCTTTACTGCCTCAGGGATACTTTATAAGGCTGTAGGTACTACATTGTAGCGGGCGTGGTCACTATGTGTTGGAGGGGTTTCGTCTGGTGTACTGCTATCATACTAGCCGGCTGACTGCTACAGCTGTCTCCGTTCCAGTGTCGAGCACCCCGCTGTCGGCCGAGCCGCGCGGCGCCGTCTCGATGGCGTCCCTCAGCGCCGACATCTCCCTGCTGAACTCCAGTCTGGCCAGCGCCAGCCTGGTGTCGACACCTCCCACCACGGCGGCCACATCGGCAGCGGTCACGGCGCCCACGCCGGCCGCGTCGGCCGCGCCCGCCTCGACGGTGGGCCGGACCGGCGGCGCCGCGTCGCCAGCGTCGGCAATCGAGGCGGGCGCCTCCATTCTGCAGGCGCTACAAAAGGATCGAGAGGTGTTCCCCGAGCACTACTGGCAAGTCTGAGGTGACGCGGTGGCGGCTAGAAGCTAGCATAACCAAAGTTACGATCGGAGGTGATAATCCTATTCAGTAGCGTGTGTAGATAGTGCCGGGCGTCGGCTGTGACGCCCCACGCTCGTGTGTTAGTCCTGTGTCGATCGGGCCTGTTCCTTGGAGGGAACCCGACGGTGACTTGTTTCCACTTGGTTCCCCTATGTGTCTATACGCCTCGTCTCGGTGCGCGGTGTCTTGATGACCTCTGATTAGACAGTGTGGAGAGAGATTGGAAAGAAAGCAGGGGAGCGGGATTTGTTGTTGAACATTGAATTTTGCCTTGTACCGCCTTTCTTCCGGCGGCTCCTATACGGGGCCTAACGCCGCCTTCCACTTGACGTGCCTTGGCAACTTTTCTAGCCAAAGTGCGACTTTCTGGTGGGATTTCTCTGTTGTATGCCTCCGTCGGCGAATTTACTTCTCGCCGGCTACTGTTATGTCGTTTCCGAGCTCATCCCATCTTTTGCTGCGATGGAGATTTCGAGCTAGCCAACGTACCGTGCTTTACTCGGGCCGGTCGACCCCTTACTCGCCAAGACCTGTGTCATACTCCATTGTCTCGCCAAATCGTGACCGTGTGTAGTGTGCGCTCTCTTGACCGTCGGCAATCCGCCGGCGGCTACGGTGCCGCCATCTCTGAGTGGCGGCGCGTAGCTCAACTTGCTCCGTTCTCCGCCCGAGTAACTCTGCATTTACTGCGGTACAATGTGCGGCGTGCGCGTGTGTACGAGTGTGTCGGAGCCGACTGTGGCTGATGGCCCGTCCGGCGGCCGCCTGTAGCCTCTGTCTCGTCGTGTCCGGCGCCCGTCGACTCCACTGCCGTCGAGGTGCCGAGCCGCTGGCCAAAGGCCGGTGGATGATGATAACGTCTTCTATAGTCTTTCCCGTGTCAGCTCTCCGCCAACCGGCTACTGTGCCTAACTCTAGCAAATAAATAACATCGATGTTTTCAACGAATGTTTAGTGTCATTTTTTAAAGGAAGCGTTTAAGGACTGCGATCTGCTCTTATAGTCGTGCTCGCAAATCAATTGGTTGAACGAGTTATTGGATTGGGACGCTGCTCGATGCATAGGTAGGTAATTCATAAAGTGGTTCGCCAATAAAAACTGATTCTTTTCCTTGCGTATTTCTTTTCAGTATAAACCAAACTATCACTTTTATTTTGAGTAGGTATCAGTTCTTTTTCTATCCAAGAACGGCAAATTTTTGTCCAAGCGGCGGGAGGGCCGGTGCTCCTAATGCTTACTTTGGGTCCGGCAGTGCACGCATAAAATATGACACTTTAAGTGCTTAGTGGAATAAAAGCTACCCCCCCCCCCCCGCCTGTTTTGCCTATTCGGCCAACGTATATGCACCGAGGACCTTTCGTTTTTTTTTCGATTCTGGAGCTGGGGAAGAGCACTAATGTTCATGGTCGCCGGCGCCGCCGAACCCGTGGCAAGGTAGACTGTACCGCAAGACACGGAGGCTTGCGGTACAGCCTAGCCCACATAGGAATGGAAAGGGGTCTGATGTATCGGACAGAGGTCAGTCTTTTAACGATGCAAGTGGCTGCAATGGTATGGTGGAAATTTCTTAATTGGAATTGCGTATGTTTTGAAAACTCATCTAACAAAATAAACTCAGTAAATTTGTAGTAGCGAACGAGACTTCTGGCCTGGCACCGCGCTTTCTTACTAAGGAATATACTTTGGGTGCTTACTGAAGAGCTTGTTCAGAAGTCCGATACTAATATTCACTGTAGAGTAATGTCATTTTTACATCATACGCAGCACAGGCGCACGCAGCCTGTGTCTTGCTGTGTCGTCCACTCCACTGATGACGTAACGCAGCAGCCAGTCGCTCGATGTCATTATCGGTAATCACCTCCTTACGCTGCGTAACCGCAATCTGGATCGTGTGTATCGGTTGTTTCATCAACACAGAAACAACGGCGTGCTGTGTCTCGGGCTGCTCGGCAGATGTGAGCATCTGCGCTTCATTCGTCCCTCCCTCCCGGCTGCGTCGTTCCATTCTACTCTGTCCCGTCCCGTCCCGCCCCGTTCTGTTCTGTCCCGTCCTGGATCGCTCGCGTGGGCTGTTCGCACGCACTGCCCGCTCGTTATTGTATGACGTCATCAGCTCAAGTGGCATCATAGAGTAAGGCGGCGGAGTCGCGTTTCGACGGTTTCCGCTTGGTGGAGTGCTCACTCGGGCGTTGCTTGAGAATGACATCATGAATGTACCGCCGTGATTAGGTACGGTTCACGGCTCACGCCGATACGGGGTGCGGTGTGAACCTTGCCTTCCCTTCCTCCGCCTTCGCTACTAGAGGGTATGTGAATTTTGACCTAACGTGTTGATGACGTCACGCTCATGGCAGATGTAACGCTCAGCGGCGTCATCTGGACGATAGTTGGTGAACGGAGACGCTGAATGGATGGTCGATCGTTCTAGACGAGCTATGTCCGGCCGACAGTGGGACGGTACTAATTGAGGAGCGGCTGTGGGTGTAACAGTATGACCGATGGAGTCCAATCATACGGGTGATTATGAAGTGTGGTAATGTGGTGGTCGACTCTGAGTTTTGGATCTTGGCTGGGATGTCATGAAGCAACTATTTTTTGGAATAAATGTCTCTTGAAATGTGTGTGGTAATTCTTTTTTTACACAAATGTCAAGTTTTGTGATGGGATCAGGGATGTTTTGAACTAAGTGCACGTCTTTTTATTAATACGCTACCACGTTGTCTTTACATGTACTCAGCCAGTGTTCCGTATGAAACTGATTGCGCTCCACATTGAAGTATTTGCTCCCGCATCGGTCACACTATCCACTCTAACATCTACGCCCTCAACCCTCTTCCATGAAGTTTTTGCTGGCAAGTGGCAGTGTCCGCCAGCTGGTGTTCATTGCAGGCAGGCCGAGATCATTTTGGGAAAGGTTTTGCAACGTAAGAGAAGAAGATTTAAAATGACTATCATGTGTCAACTGTCATGTACCATTATTTACCGGCTGGATTCACCCATTACCGAGTGATGGGAGCAGTGTTGTGTCAGGGATGTCGTACGGGGACCCGCAGTTGCTACTGTACAGCGACCCTGAGTAAATTGTCCCAGCACCCTCACAGGGAACAACGATAAGCTGTCGGAGGGCACTCACAGAAAACTTCAGCTGCTCTTGTACAGGGATTGGCAGTCGATATCAATGTCATCGGTTGTTACTGGGCAGGACAGACGGCTAGAGTTGGGGTTCGTGTACAGTAGCAACTGCGGGTCCCCGTACCTACCTACAGTAAGTAAGTGCCAGTGTAAGTGCCAGTGCCAGTGAAAAGTGAGCATGATTTATTAACGTCCATCACTATTCTTTCTTTCGCTGTGCCATCGAGCTGTCGTTTTCTACTGCTAAACCGACTTGTTCCATCTCGCTAAACGCGGCTTTCGGGTTACTTTATAAAAAGTTTATTGCTAGCATGGCTGACGCAGTATAAAATATTTCGGTCACTCTGTTGAACAGGACTCTCATAATCGCATAAATACATAGTGGTACAAGTAGAAAAAGTACACAAAGTAAATACAGCTTGACAGTACTTTCTATGTTGACAATGTAGCAAGATATCTACGATCAGAGTGAACAACCTTGCTGAGAAACAGTGATTACTCACATACACGACAATCTACAGACGACACATTACGGCACTTCACGTCTCTGAAAGACACATGACCCGAACGCAGTCAGACTCGCCGGCGCTCGCGTCGCAGCCAATCACGATCCAGCGCGATCGGGCGTGACCTGCGTCCAGTGTTGCCACCTAGTGGCGACCGTTGGAAGCTCCAGTTCCGACGGGCGCCGCGCGGTAGTTCCTGACGACCAGATCCGTGCCGATAAGGCGTCCCAGCTTGGTCCACCAGGGCCCATAGCCTCCCGGCGGGGGCGGCGGGTAGCCGTAGATCTCTCTAATGTGCTGTCGGGATGAACAGGTAGACCTGTATCAGAAGACGAGAGAGAAGAGGGTCATGCAGGCGTGCAGTGTCAGGTCACACGTCATGTGCCGGTCACAAAACCTCGGGGATGGGACGAGTGCAGACTCGTGCAGCATTTACTTTATAGACTCACTTTTTCTGTGGTAGCAACGGCACCAATACTTATTTAAGACATTATACAAACATTTCAAAGTTATAAATTATAGTATAACCGTAATGAGTTTGAATTTATATCACAAGGTATACAGCATTAGTTATTGGCATGCGGTCTGGAAACATGCTTTTACACAACCACTATCTTTGCATAAACAGCAAACCCAATCATTATTTATATTTGGCATTCTTTTCGGAAAACATGTGCATGATTTGCATTAAATGTTCATAGTTATTTTCTATGGACATATTTAGGCAAAAGTAACATAACACCATACCATTTTATCGAATGAGCAATAACCATGCTAATAAAGTGCAACATGATTTAAAAACGTACGTGAAATTGTTTGTGCGATTGTGTTAAATGTTCACCAAAAGATGTGAGATGAACTCAATGTCATGCACATTGCACAATGCACATCAGTGATTCCATAGGGGCAATTTCAAGCGACAAGCTCAACATAACCATCATCTACGATCTTTCCATGTAAATAAGGATCACATTCTAGAAGAGAACTGAAATGATTTACCGTTCTTGAATTATTGAGTCATAAAGAAATGTGATTATTCGTTCTACGCCGCTTATCTAACCCTACATTTGTTGACCTTCAAGTAATTTGAGGCTTTTTGATGGCTTAAGGGAACCACTTTGGGTTACACACGAGTTTGTCAGCGTCCACCAAGTGTGACGTCCGCTGTCGACTGTAACCAGTCAATGTGTCACCACGACAGCACCGGTGACGGATCTGGCGCCCGTGTGACGCTTGTGATGGATGCCTTGACGGATATACCGTGACGGGTATACGGTAACGTCACATGGCACTTCGTCACTCTTGGTGGATATTAACTTCATCAGAATTAGGTGGTAACGCAATTACGCCGATATTGTGGTGGCATTATGAGTACATAGAAGAAAATTTGGATTTCAGATCAAAATTGTCCATTGCTTGGCCATCTTTGAGAAAAGTTCTCAACTAGTGATTTTTCTGAAAAGACAAGCTTCCAAGCATGCCTGAACATCATTAAACGATGTACAACGCATATAAAATGTTCCCCTCCCTCTTTGTCCCTCCCTGTGCTTCTCTCCCCACTGGCACTTACCCCGTTGCTGCCGTATCCGTTGAAGTGCGGCGTGGCCAGCAGGCCGGGCAGGTAGTTGCCCGGGGCGTACGCCGGTCGCACGGTCGGCCCCACGGAGCCGGAGCCGTGCACGGCCACGCCGGCGCTGCCGTAGCTGGCGGCGTGCGGTCCGCCGTGCGGCCGGCCGCGCGTGCCGTGGGTGAAGCCCCAGGCGCCTCTCAGTGGTAGAGCACCGTCGTCGTACGAAGTAGCCGGGGTGGGACGGTACGGCTGGTACTCGATCTCATATCCGGGACGGTGCGACGGGCCGCTGTAGCCCAGCGCGCCGGGACGCGCGCTGTTGTAGGTGGGAGGCGTGTACTTGTGGTCACTGGGACCCTCGTAGGTGGCGTGCGGTGCCTTGTAGTCGGTGGGCGCCTTGCTGGCCACTGGCCCGAGGTAGCTGCGAGTGGGCGCGTACACCGGTGCCGAGTATCCGCTCTTGGGCGCCTTGTACTCTGTATTTGGAGCCTTGTAGGCGGGCTCCGGAGCCTTGTAGGCGGGTTCTGGGGCTTTGTAGGCAGGGTTCGGGGCCTTGTAGTCCGCTGCAGGAGCTTTGTAGTCCGCTACAGGAGCTTTGTAATCCGCTGCTGGCGCCTTGTAGGCCATTTCAGGGGCCTTATACGCTGGCTCAGGTGCCTTGTAAGCAGGTTCGGGGGCCTTATAGTCGGTCTTCGGGGCGTGATATTCAGGCTCAGGAGCTTTGTAGGCAGGCTCGGGGGCTTTGTAAACGGGAGCGTGGTATTCAGGCTCGGGCTGTTTATAAGCTGGCTTCGGGGCGTGGTATTCCGGTTCAGGCTCCTTGTAGGACGTTTTAGGAGCGTGGTATTCGGGCTCAGGAGCGTGGTATGCGGGCTCGGGTTCTTTGTAGGACGTTTTGGGTTCATGATACTCGGGCTCCGGTGCCTTGTAGACGGGAGCATGGTATTCGGGCTCGGGTTCTTTGTAGTCAGTCTTCGGTGCGTGATATTCTGGTTCAGGAGCCTTATAAGCAGGAGCCGGCGCATGGTACTCAGGCTCTGGGGCCTTGTAGTCAGGAGCATGGTATTCGGCTTTGGGCTCTTTGTAGGAGGTTTTGGGCGCATGATATTCTGGTTCGGGCTCTTTGTATGAAGTCTTTGGCGCGTGGTACTCGGGTTCGGGAGTCTTGTAGGACGGGGCATGATACTCTGGTTCGGGCTCTTTGTAGGTCTTAGGCGCATGATATTCAGGTTCAGGAGCCTTATAAACTGGGGCGTGATATTCGGGTTCTGGTTCTTTGTAAGAGGTCTTAGGAGCGTGGTACTTAGGTTCGGGAGCCTTGTATGCGGGCTTGGGAGCATGGTATTCAGGCTCAGGCTCCTTGTATGACGTTTTGGGGGCATGATACTCAGGCTCAGGAGCCTTGTAAACCGGAGCATGATACTCCGGTTCAGGAGCCTTGTAAGCAGGAGCGTGATAGTCTGGCTCGGGCTCCTTATATGAAGTCTTGGGAGCGTGGTACTCAGGTTCTGGGGCATGATACTTGGGTTCAGGAGCGTGGTATTCGGACTCGGGCTCCTTGTAGGACGTTTTGGGCGCATGGTACTCGGGTTCAGGAGCGTGATACGCAGGATCCGGTGCGTGATAATCGTCCTTCGGGGCCTTGTACTCTGGCTCAGGGGAGTAGGACGGCGCCTTGTAGTCAGTCTTGGGAGCGTGGTATCCCGGCTCGGGCTGAGGCTCGTAATCAGGCTCGTGGTAGTCGGGAGCGTGATACTCGGCCTTAGGTGCGTGATACTCGGGCTCAGGGGCATGATAATCGGTCATGGGAGCTTGATACTCAACTTGAGGAGCCTTATAGTCAGACATAAGAGCGTGATATTCAGCTTTGGGTGCCTTGTAGTCGGACATGTGGGCGTGATAGTCTGCTTTAGGTGTCTTGTAGTCGGACATGGGGGCGTGATACTCTGCTTTAGGTGCCTTGTAGTCGGACATGGGGGCGTGATAGTCTGCTTTAGGAGCCTTATAGTCGGACATCGGTGCGTGGTACTCGCCCTTGGGAGCGTGGTAGTCGGTCATCGGGGCATGGTAGTCTGGCTCCGGCGCCTTGTAGGACGTAGGCGCCTTGTAGGTCCGATGGGCGTCCATGTGACCGTGGCCCTTGGCGTGATGGCCCTTGGCGTGTCCGGTGGCAGCCAGCACGTAGTCCCAGGCCGTGGACGGTGCGCTGTAGTCCTTGACGATGTGCTCGTTGGGGTAGTCGTCGTAGACACCGTAGCTGTCGCCCTTGTGGTGGCTCGCCTTCGGGGCCAGGTAGCCGGTGGGTGCCGCTGGCTTGTGATGGTGCGGCATGTGTGGCATGTGCTTCGGTGCGTGGTGGGGCATGTGGTGAGGCATGTGATGCGGCTTGTGCTCCGGCACATGGCTAGGGGCGTGATGCGGCACGTGGCTGGGTTCGTGATGAGGCATGTGATGCGGTGCGTGGTTCGGCGCATGGCTGGGCGCGTGGTGTGATCCATGCGGAGCGTGGTGTCCAGGGTGGATCTCCTGCACCTCAGCGATGGCGTGCAGCGCCCGACCACGATGTTCGCCCTTGAGCGCCAGTTTGCCGGCGTGGTGAGGCACTCCGTGGTCAATCGGCGTGGGTTTGAAGAAGGCCGAGGAGTCGGAAAGCACCTCAGCGAGGTTGGGCGAACGGCGCCAGCGGCGGTGAGGGTGTCCCGGTGAGCGAGTCACGCGCGCACCGAACGACTCGCCCAGGAAGTCGACGTTGGTCTTCAGGTTGTCTGAGAAGCTGGATACAGGCGGGAAGCCGACGGCGGGGAGGTTCGGCTCGCTTGCGGGCACCGGGCGCCTGTAGCGCTCGTAGTAGCGACCTGGCTCGTGCAGAATCACGGCCTCAAACGGAGGCTCCCGGAGGACTGGCCGGGGCTCGTGGCGGTACTCCGACTCATACTCTGGTCCGTAGTAGGACTGATAGTCGGGGCTGTAGTCAGGCTTGTATACGTGCTTGTAGAAGGGCTTGTAAGGAGACTTGTAGCTTGGCCTGTAAGCTGAGACGGGCTTACGGACGATCGGAGCTGGTTTCTGCGAGTCTGGCTGTGTCTCTACCACGGTGGCGAGCGGCTCAGCCTGCTGCGGGCCCGAGTAGTAGACCCGGTACCGGTGGTAGGGCTTCTCCTGCTTCTCTTCCTCTTCATCATCCGAGAACCACTCGGGCTGCTGCACCTGGTCGAAGCTGAACTCTCCCGGGTAGCGGGCCGGCTCAAAGAAGACGCGCACTGGGGCCAGCTGGGTGGGTTCGGCAGTGCTCAGTGTGTCGTCGATCTCGTTATCCGACGGAGAGGGTCGCGGGGCCGCCGGCGGCTGGTAACGTACTCTCGGGGAGTACGTAGTTACCTTGGGCTCCTGGGTTGGATCGGCGGCCTGCGGAGGCTCCACGGCCGGCTCGGCCACCGGCAGGGCCGCCTCGATCTCCTGCTCGACGGTGGACTCACCATCGCCAGCCGTCGCTACCGACACGACTGTCACGATCGGTTCGTCGACGACGTCAGTCTCAACTGTTTCTCCGACCACACGCTGTTGGGCGAGCTCCTCGACTACTTCTCCCTCAGGAAGTAACTCGATGTCACTGGTGCTGTCCTCGACTGTCGTGACGCCTTCATCCGACTTGTATCCGGAGGAGGTGGTGAGGTCGGTGTCGTCGCTGATCTGGTCGGGGACCAGGGGCAGCAGCTCGTCCTCGGGGCTAGTGGAAACCCCCTGTGGAGCTGCCGCACCCAGGGCGAATAGCAGCAGCAGCAGCGCCGCCCTCAGCATCTGCGGCACGGGAGAGGGGTAATCGTTACACAGACGAAGGGGAGTGGTACAGGCAGTACGGGCGCCTCAGCATATGCTACACCGGGGATGAGATGCATTCGAATGAGATGCATTGCCAAACAAATGGCGATGCGTTACTAGTCCGAACTTTAGTTATCAGTATTACATAGTTTCAATGCCCTTATAATATATAAGTGGAAGTTAAACCCGTCAGGCGGTGATTTTGGTGACGGTCTTGGGAATGAGTCTTGCCTGCGCGCCCTGTGCAAACTACTTTTTCACTTATAGATAATCCTCCGACAGAGAACTTAACCCTTCAAAATTTAAAACAAGTCGATTTCATAGCTCATTTTTATTTGAATACCTTCATGTGCCGCTTATTTTTTCTTTTTCTTTTTAATTGCGTAATGGTTGTATCGCTTTTGGGATTTGATTATTTATTAGCGTTATTGTGTAGGAGTCATCGATAAATGTTAGTTAGACATATTTGTAAGATATCGTTTGTGTCCATTGAGTTTTTGTCTCCATTGACCGTTCTTCAATGCTTCTTTTTACAGAAAAAGTCTGTGATAAATATTGTGTGATTCACGGTGGCATTTAAGCTCAGCCTGAAAGCTATTACAAACACTTATGCCAAAGTTCACCACACATCCATGGCCTGCGGCCAGGCAGTCCCGTGAACTCACTTTAGCTTCCCTGGCGGTCGCTGTCATTAGTTTCACATCCGTCCGCTCGGTTTCACTATCGAATCGATTGATCATTTCGCCAGATTCCCTTTCAAAGCACCAGCTGGCGATACGCTAGATTATTGTAGCAAATAGCACCATTTACGAGATGACATTGCGGCTCCGATGAGTCTCATTTTCAGGTGGCGACAGATGTTACTCTTCTAGTATATCTATGTCAAGGTCCTGTATCTTTGGTAAGAGACGAGACTCGAGCTATTTCGGACTACCACATTTCGGCCGATATTCCCACGACGTGAAACCATTTGAACAAATGGTTCCCCGCGGGGCATTAGTCATCGATTGGCGATTATGTAATGGAGCCCACTGGAGTCGTCTGTGGGGATAGCGGAGACTTGAACTTGACTTTACTGAGACTTGACTGAGACTTTGAGAGCGATCGGAAATGATAATCATGGTGGGGGAGACATTGGGACATGTGATGAAAAGGTGGAGAATGAGTATGTTAAGTGTTTGATGACCCGTGAAAAGTGCATACAAATGGGCTGCCTCTGAAGTGCTCATTTGTTCGTAAGGGTTGTGCTAAAAGACAATGTGTGCCTGTAAAAAGTGACCAATGGTGTGTTTTGTTTGCGGCGAATTACAGAACCGCTGGCTTTTATTGAAAGAGTAATCAAAGTTCCATCGGAAACCGCCCTCCGCTCTACTTGAACGATGGGAACTACTTGCAAAAGGATTTTTCTTTTACATTACTACTTCCATTTATTGGGTTGCATTGATATTCGAAATTGTATTAAACGTTTCTAAACTCTTCTGCCGTTTAGTATTCAGCACACGACTTTGGCCAGGATATTGAAACTTGTATGCGGGCTCGAAGTTCGGGTGGTTGATATGACTTAAGCAGGCGGTTGTCGCCCCTGCGGCTATGTTGCGCTTGAAGAGAAAACAAATCATTATATAATTATTCTGTGCTAAACGGATATGTAGCACAACTTCAAGCTGATTATAATTGCAAACAAACGGCATTGAAAAAAATAGGCCGAAATTATTAGTCACAAGTTAGGCTAAACCGATAAAACGTGTCCTTTTCTGTATCTTGGTATGTAGATTGGGTGCTTCGATAAAATATATTTTGATAGTGTGTCAAGCGGTATTCTTCGGGCGTTACTGAGCAGTTATTTCATCACCAGTTATGCATCTCGACGACACATTTTGTAAAGGTGATACTGAGGCTGTGGTAACTGGTAAATATAGGAAGACTGTTCATTGTTCATGACATGCTGTTCTGCTGCCTTGTGCTGCTGAAATACCTGACGAGTCATAACAACGCGGTGTATGTAGTTGCTGGTCACTGGGCAGGATAATGAGAGGGAGTAATCAGTGACGCATTTAACACTTTAACAACCCTGAAGCTGGTCATTAGTATCTCGTTCAGATATACGGTCTCTGTGATTTTACTCTGAGTTCAGAAGCAGAACAGTACGTCATGACTGTGGGACAGCCAATAGAGTCGCAGGGCTCGCTATTCGTAGGAAATTCAGGCACCTGAGTCACTGAGTGCGTTTTCACGCTCTACACTATCTCTGTTCCGGAGCCACTTAGCGGAAAGCCGTAAGCGCCTTTCAAAACGTCAAAACATGTCAAGTAAGTATTTCGGTCATAGAAAGGTCGGCCCCAGGTTATCTTCCAAGATATGCGAAGATCGTTTCCTCGATTTTTAATTTTTTTTTATGAGTCGGCTCATTCTTAAGCATTTGAAGCTAGAGCATCGCAAATCATGATTGCTCAAGCGTAACACTAAACGTCTGTACAGATTTGATCGCAGGTCAATGGTTTTCCAAAGTTACATCTACATAGGTAGGAGTTCTCTCGAGTCAAGCTTGCTTCTATTTTTTGCGAGCGCTAGGGATGACTTTCGTATAAAAGGGGTGCAATTTCTTTTCTTTTTACTACTGACTTAATATTGGAAGTTCGCAAAATCGATCTGACCTTAGGTCACATATCAAAAATACGAGATAAACTATTTATAGTTCATAAACATTTTCTCATCCTTATCAATCGCTTGAACTTGAACTAGGAAGCTTTTCTGACATCCTTCGAAAGTGGCATGAAAATAACTATATGAAGCAAAATGGTAGGTAGGTACAGTACAATCTTAGAATAATCTTGAATGACCCCATATTGAGAGGTGTGAAAATGCCTCTCCCTTTCTTTATCGATGCATGTTTAGGTCTTCATTAGTGATTAATTATTTAACCAGAACATACAGTTGTTATCTATTTAGCTTTGAATAAAACTAAACAATATGCTACAAATAATATGATGACTCGGTACAAGCGCACGATGTACATATTGATATGTATCTATTGCTTCATTGTTATCCATTTTAATCATCACAACTTGTACCCAAATAAATATTGTTTTGTTAGTGCGGATTACGAATAAATTTACTCGCAAATATGTTACAGCCAAATGCCATTGCGATCCCTGCAGACTTGTGATGTCGACCCGCACTGGTCCCTTCACGTCACGAGGAGAAGGTTGTCTTAACACCACCGCCTTCAATGATCCAATCTTCGGTAACTCAGATCGACATCGGAAAGCATCGTTGAAAAGGAAAAAGTCGTTTAAGTCATTCAAAGCGGGTGGCCTTCAGTAACCATAGGGCCCATTTCCATATCAATAGCATGTGTGGGACAGTTTAGTGATATTTTTTGTTATTATGTAGAGCTAAGTAAAACCACTGAAAGGGAACGGCGTAAGAACAACCGCACCATGGTACGGGTAATGATAAACTGTGCAGTTGGTTAGTTTTTACGAATTGACTAAAAACTCGATATGTTAATCCTTTTTCTTTGTGTTTTTAAACAAATATAAGTTGAATTTGATCGTGCTTTCGGTAATTTCCAACAGGCCATAACAATAATGGTATCTCTATTTTTTTTCCCAAAAAACTCATTTTTGCAGCAAAGCCGTAGTGCAGTGATTGCGTATGCTTGTCGAAATAATAGGTAAATTGTGTGCTTTGAAGTTAAAACTTGGGAAAGGGACTCAATGCAAAAAAGAAAACGCAAGGAAATTTTTTGACGACTTAACAACGCCTTATCTCTCTACAAAACAAAACAAAGCAAAATAAAACGAAGCAAAACAAAAGCTAAACAAAACAATACAACCGCCCTTACTCTTAGTTTTCTAGTTCACACTCACCATGGTTCCTGCCGGTCGGGTCCGAGCGCCGCTGCTGCTATCACGCTCCCTTGTGTGTGTCTGAGTGTCCGGTCCGCTCGTGCGCACGTGCACCACTCTCCCTCTCGGCCGCTCACCACACTGGCCACCGGGCGCCTCCTGCGCGTATCACAAGGATGGGTGCTCTGTCCACCGTCCAACCAACGCCGGCCATTTATAGCTTTGCGCAATTTTTCGGCCGCCCGCGATTCCATCCGAAATGGGGGTGGGCTCGGGGGCGGTCGGTGGACAGTGAAAGGCGTCCCACGGCCAAGTTCAGAGCATTGTCTTCCGATTGGCGCGACACCCTTGTGGCCGTCGCTAAAATGGCGCCAGTGGGGTCGGTCACTGATGAGGCGGTCATTTGGGCGACTGGAGATGACCACTGGGTCCGCTGACTGGGCCGGTCGGTATTAATGTTGGAAGTCGTGTCAACGGCTATCAACACTGAAGTGTAGTCATAGTCGCTTGGTGGGAAAATTTCATGTTAAAGCCTTTATTAGCGATTCATGTTCCAATTAAATGGTTGACTCATCGTTGAACATTTAATAAAAACACTTGTCTTGTAACTGAAACATAAACGTTTTGGCTGGATGGGACATGTTCCCTAGTCCCCACTGGCGGACCCAAGGCTGGGCAGTTGAGGCATTTGTCCCTTCTACTTCGTCCGAAATTGACGAAATTTTCAACATTTACCACATGCCGAGATATCCCTTTAACATTAGCACGTGCATTTGGGAAATGGCTTCGGCCCGCCTCGGCTAATGTTGAAGGTATTTGGGAAACGATTCGGCCCTAGGGCTTTTTGATTTTCCCAGACAAAATTTTACTGAATATTCTGAGCGGAAGAACCAATTCCAAAGAAGATATTTACGGATTGTGTGTTCACTAACAGCAACAGCAGAAGTGAGCAAAATTAAGTGACTGCGTTTTCACTTACTTTTGCTGTCAACGTAATTCAACTAAACAAGGGTATAGGTATCGTTCAAATGCCAATGTATTTATTGCTGCGGAACATGGTCAGCGAACTGATTATTACACTTATTACAACATAATGCACGCAAAAAACGAACACTTTAAATGCGCGAAGCATCTTAACCCTCGCCCATGTAGGGGGGGGTTGGTGCAACCCCCCCCTGAGGTTTTTCGGAAATAGTGTAAAAACGGCGGCGCGCAGCGCCGCCAAATTTTGGGTACCTTATGGGGCAAACCTTGCGCATCTTTTGATAAAAAAAAATTGACCGGGTCATGTCAGGTCACGGAGTTATGACGTCACAAAGGGAACAGCCTCCGGCCGGATTTTCACAAACTGAGTGCCAACGCCCGAGGTTTCCTGCCGGTGGTACGGACATCGGTTGATGGATCGTGATGAAACTTCCCATGCATGTTGGGGCAAGTATTGGCTATCATATGGTATAAGAAACTTGACCGGGTCAGGTCAGGTCACGGAGCTATGACGTCACAAGAGGAACAGCGTCCGGTACTATTTTTGAAAAGCGCCCGAACCACTATTTTGCTAATTCTTGTCACCTCAATGGGAATATGCAGCAATATTAGCTTCTATAGGGAGCAAATGGACCTTCCAAATCCAAAAATACAATCAGATTTCAAAAATTTAAATTTTGATTTTTCGAATTTCTGCCGCCGACTGTGACCTTGCCGACTTCCGGCGCTCCCAACGCGCCATTTTTAGAGCTAGGGAAACGAAATACATACCAAACGATAGAGAATTGATCAAGGAACACGATAGTGAAGGTTTCAAGTCGATATCTCCCACCGTTTTGCCGCAATCGCCGCGGAAAGTTGAAAAAAGTCTATTTTTCCGAAAATTTGACCTTTGACCGGTCAAAAGTAGGTCAAATGTTGACCTAGGACCAAAAAATATACCACCAATCGCGAGATCTCGGCGAGAGCAATCCGTTGGTCTTTTCCGCTAAGCTCTACGACGCTCCGTTTTCAAACGCCAAGGGGGGGGGTCGCACCAACCCCCCCCCCTGCATGGGCGAAGGTGGCAGATCGCCGTTTACGGGCGAGGGTTAACAAGCCACAATGAATCATTTGATATTGTTCCAGCTGGGATCCAAGACGCGTTTGATTAATCGGTTCACCCAATTTTCAGTTTTCCTCACGGTTTCCTCACTCCTGCTGGAAGTGGACTCCATATCTTTATTCTATTCTAACTTCTGACGCTTCACAATCTTCATCCTCAGCCTTTTCAAACCATAAATAAGGGGGAAGTAGGAAATTTCATCTTTCATACTCAACGCAGCCCAATAATGAAAAACACAAAAAGATAATCACGGTGACTATAAATATGATCATAGTATTAATATAATATAAACACAATATTAAGAATATAATAATATATATCAAATGAATATGATAGTAACTGTTGCGCCGGTACGGCATGTGGTAAATCTCTTCCCAACCAAGGCCATATTCCCAACCTTGGGCTGTAAAAATGCAATTTTATTCACCTCGGTTTTTGGCTACGGACCTCGTGCCTACCGGCACTCGGTCCTCCGCACAAAAACCTCGGTGAATAAAAAGCATTTTCCCAGCCCCGGTCGGGAATATATAATACTGAACGAGGCCGGTGTAAATAAATTTTCAAGACCGAGGTCCTTACTGGATTTTTGAACGAGGCCGAAGGCCGAGTTCAAAAATCAGTAAGGACTGAGGTCTTGAAAATTTATCACCGGCCGAGTTTGGTATGTATTTTACTGTATGCCAACGATAAATTTATTTTCTGGACCGAAGCTCTTAGCCGACTTAGGAACGAGACCATCCCAAAATGTTCGCTTAAGTGCATTCTGGTAATGCATTTTTGACCGTGGTCAATTTGCTTACACCAGTTATTACCACACCCCTCTGGCTAATGTATTTGAATAGGCCAGGCATACAGTAATATATATTCCCTAATCCCTTATATATAGTATGCTGAAACAAAATCTAAGAAGTTTTAGGAATTTGTAGTTTTTTATAGTGTGCCCCAGGGGCGGATCCAAGGGGGGGTCACATGGGTCATGGCCCCCCCTTGAGGCCCGGGGGCCCAAAGACCTGCCAGGGGCACCACCGGCCTATCAGGGGTATCACAGTCCTGACAGGGGCACCACAGGACCGCCAGGGGCACCACAGGCCTAGCAGGGACACCACGGGCCTGGTGCCCCTGGGCCCTGACAGGACTGTAACGCCCCTGACAAGCCTGAAGTGTCCCCGGCAGGCACGTGGTGCCCCTGACAGGCCTGAGGCGCCCCTGCAAGGCCGGTGGTGCCCCTGGCAGGCCTGTGGTGTCCATGGCAGGCCTGTGGTGCCCTTGCTAGGCCTCTGGTGCCCCTGACAGGCTTGTAATGCCCCTGGAAGGACTGTGGTGCCCCTGGGCCCTGACAAGCCTGAGGTGCCCCTGACAGGCCAGTGGTGCCCTTGCTAGGCCTGTGGTGCCCCTGGCAGGCCTCTGGTGCCCCTGACAGGCTTGCGGTGCCCTTGGAAGGACTGTGGTGTCCCTGGGCCCTGACAAGCCTGAGGTGCCCCTGACAGGCCCGTGGTGCCCTTGTTAGGCCTGTGGTGCCCCTGGCAGGCCTCTGGTGCCCTTGCTAGGCCGCTGGTGTCCCTGGCAGGCCTCTGGTGCCCCTGCGCCCGGAGAAGACTGGTGCCCCTGAAAAGTCTGAAGTGCCCCTCGGCAGGCCCGTGGTGCCCCTGACAGGCCCAAGGTGCCCCTGCAAGGCCGGTGGTGCCCCTGGCAGCCCTCTGGTGCCCCTGGCAGGTCTGTGGTGCCCCTGGCAGGTCTGTGGCGCCCCTGGCAGACCTGTGTTGACTGGTGCCCCTGCTAGGTCGCTGGTGCCCCTCACAGACCTGTGGTGCCCCTGGGCCTTGACAAGCCTGAGATGCCTGGCTATGACAGGCTCGTGGTGCCCCTGATAGACCAGTGGTGCCCCTGCTAGGCCGCTGGTGCCCCTCACAGGCCTGCGGTGCCCCTGGAAGGACTGTGGTGCCCCTGCCCCTAGGGGTGCTCATGGGCCCAACAGGCCCGTTGTGCCCCTGACAGGCCTGTAGTGTCCTTGCTAGGCCTGTGGTGCCCCTGCTTCCTGGCGGGCCTGTGGCGCCCCTACAAGGCCGTAGGTGCCCCTGACAGGTTTGTGGTGTCCCTGGAAGGACTTTGGTGCCCCTGACAAGCCTGAAGTGTCAAGGACAGACCCTTTAGACGCCAGTGTCAAGTTCGTCGGACTGACAACGATTTGCTTACCTGATAACGTTCCTGGTAAGTACTCACTACTCAGCGTCCACAACATATACATATACACATAGCACATTCATATATACTTGCTTACAATTGGTAAATGTGGTAGTGGCTAAGAGTTAAGATATTGACTAAAAATAAGAAATAAAAATAAAAAAACTGAAAATGGGGTCACCACCAAAATGAAGTGGACGAAATCCGTTGAGTTTTTAATTTTGGGTATAGGTAGGGGCACCACTTCGATTCATGACCCTCCCCTTGGAGTTTTCCTGGATCCGCCCCTGGGTGCCCTCACCCTGTAGTATCCAATACTACTGTTCGGTATTCTCCAAGTGTCAGTGGTGTCTCACTCTCATCCTGCCCTGCCTAACGGAAACCCCATTAGTTTTTTATTCTTTTTTTTTCGACTCCTAATTATTTTTACATAACTTAGCTGCAATTTGACCCTCCTGACCATTCAGATTGCGAGTTTTTTGGGTCAGTTAGGTCACTGATCTATTGCGTCATAAGTGAACTTCTGCACTGTCAAAACGTCGCAACTCCGAAACGCCTACAGGGCCAGGAATCTTTGGCAGAGAGATGAAACTTCCAATAAGCTAAGACCAAGTTCGTGACATGAGTGGCCGTGACCTGACCTTAATCTGAAAGCATTACCCTAAGTTGACCTTTCCCTAGCAAAAAGTATATTATTCGGCGCGCATATCATTTCAAGCGCTATGTTGCCCAAAGCGGTGCTGTGCTATCATTTTTGGCGATGTAATTTACCGAAAATCGGACCCCTAATTTATGGCACTTGACCTGATCTCAGAGGTCACCGGTTAATCTGAGACCTGATACCTCGAAGCTCTAGCTCAATTAGGGGCGAATCGGCGACAGTGTCTTCCAACGCTTCCCGACCTCCGACCGGAGTGTATGTAGAAAATTGATAGGACAGGCGAGGG